ATGTTTCTTTGTCAGGTTATAATTGTTGTATAAAAACACACCACTGTATTTCTTGTCCCCAGGCACGAAGGGGAGATGTATAAAACCCTGTTGAGTGACTATGACACTCGACAGAGGGAGCTGGTGCTGGAAAATGCAGAGTTGAGGAAAGTGTTACAGCAGATGAAAAAAGACATGGTGTCCATTTTAAGTTCAAGGAAACTGACTCTGAAAGGGGATAAACATGAAGATGGTTGCATACAGGTAAGACAACTATTATTTATTTATTGTTCATTAACTTTTGAGATGTTAAGCTATTGCTTCCCAGTCTTTGCTCTTAATTTGTTCCCGATAAGTTTTTCAATTTGAATACACGATAATTTAAGACTGGGTATCATTTGAAATGTTTTAATACTAGTGGAAATACCCGAGTTTCTGTGCCTAAATTGAGACGATACAATTTTAATAGCTTACTTTTGGAACTCTCAATAGGTTTTTCTTCATATCCCTTTTTTTTATGTAACAAAAGAAGCCATGCTCTAAAATGTTAAGAGTTATTTAATAAAGCAACACACAGCATACAAGAACTAAGCTAATTGTAAATGATGAAGAATAAGCCATTTGTATGACAAAAGCATTATTACTACTAATACTTTTCGGACTAGTTTTCAATACTTTGTGCTATGGACATGTAAATGTCGTACAGAAAAATTTGGTTTGATATGCTGGCCCTAACTGCATGTAGACAAATAGATCTCTTAACAGATTCCATTAAACATTTTTTCCCGTTCTCCTCTTTGTGTTTTTTGTAATATTTGGGTAGAAACCATCCACAGACAAACCAAACTGGCACAGTTGAAATCGATCACAGTTTGTTTCACAGCTGATAATCATCCTCATGCCTGTTATTTAGTCTGGTAGGCTTGTTTTGCAGATATGTTAATAACTAAAATTTATTTTCACTATCATGTTAGGCTGACTCAGAGGAGGAGGAGGAAGTGTTTGATTCCAGTAAGGAAAGTGTAGAGCTGTATTGTGTTCACGCCCGGGAGAAGCTGACCAACAGTATTCGCCTCCAGTGGAGAAGACTCAAGAGCCACGTAGAAAGACTGGATAGCCAAGGTAGTTTTCACACTGCACAGTGTCTCCATTTGACCTTGATAAATGAAGGAACTTCATGTAAGAATTTCAGGGGATTTGGAGACAACATTCTCATCCCTCTCTTAACTAAAAAAACAGGTTTTACCATTGATCTGGCAATAGAAAGAAAAGTCATAGAACAAGGAATCTTATTCAACCTAAGAGGAAAAACTGTCAGAGCAACCAAAAAATGCTTACATGATATACTGACACCTTTGGTTTGGCCATTGAACCATTGAGTAGTAATAAGCTGGTCAGTACTCAAAAATCAAGGTTTGAATGGAAACAACTAAAATACCGACAACAATATTCCAGTAACGTTCCAGACTGAATCATTACTTCCTGTTCAAATAAATATGTAAAAGCTGGATGCAAACATCAAGTTGGATTTCCTTTTTTGTTTGTATAGCATCTTTGTCACAGATGGGTGAGAGTAAAAATTCTGATGCTGTTCCTCGAGAGACTCACGAGGAGGAGATGGACAGACTAAAGCTGGAGATCCAGCAGTGCAAAGATTTTATTCAAACTCAACAGCAGCTGCTGCAAGTAAGACTGAATTTACTGCCAGCTGCAAAAGTCAAAGTAATCATTTTGCCTTTTTTTATTTTAAGGAGATGTTTGGAGGGTATTTCTTTTACTTGGTTTGGTATCAATGTCTAGTCAAACTATTATTAAGCATTTACCAAACACAGGGGTGTATGATGTCTAGAGGATTATAAAACGAGAGCACATACACTGAAAACCAATTCAATTCAATTTTATTTGTATAGCGCCAAATTATAATAAACATGGTCTCACGGCACTTTACAGGGTAAAGTTGATACCTTACTTTATTACAGAGAGAAACCCAACAGTTCCCACAAAGAGCAAACACTTAGTGACAGGGGGGAGGAAAAACGTCTGCCTCGACCAGTTGGGTTTATTTGTTGGAGGAAAGATGTTTTATTAATTACTGCAGACAATGGCTCCCTAAATAAGTTGTTTATGAACCAAATCCCTGGTTTCATCTCTTCTTGTAGCAGCAGCTCAGCTCTCCATGTGATGAGGAGACAGCATCCCTGCTGAGCGACTGCTACATGTTGCAGGAGAAAGAGCGCCTCGGGGAGGAGTGGAAGACTCTAGAGGAGCAGAGAAAGATCTTTGAGAGGGAGAGGAGGAACTTTACAGAAGCAGCCATAAGACTGAGCCATGAGGTGATTTATAAAAGATATTTATTCCAAAAATTGGTGTGAAATAAAAATCAGGAAATGTGTATGTATAAAACAGCTGTGTGTCGAGAGGACTCATTTCTATCTTTGTGATTACTTCAAGAAGTGTTTCGACTGCTTTTACGATGACTTGTATCTGGTTTAATTTGCAGAGGAAGGCCTTCGAGGAGGATCGTGCGACGTGGCTCAAACACCAGTTTTTAAACTTGAGTCCGTTCGCAGACACAAAGAAATCCCCGATGTCAAAGTCGAAAAGTGCCTTTTTAATATGTGAGTGTCTAGTCTCACTTAAATCCTCTACTGATATGGCCAAGTTCACTCAGGTGTGCTCACTGAGATAAATGTCATAAAGTTAAATTATTTAATTGCAATGGTAGTCAATAAACTGAAGAGGTCTAAAACAGCTGATTTATTAGTAAAATATGTTTTTCAGGTGTCTGTGTGTACTGTAGGACATGTAAAATTACTTCACATGTAGAAAACAGAACCGTAGGTCTTTTGTTTGGTTTTTTTTTGACAAAAATATTTCAGTTATATTTACAGTTTTAAAAGTTGCACTTCAGTTCCACAATGGATTTGTGTTTCTTTTTCCCAGCTGTTTCCTTTTTGGTCATATGGATCAATATCTTCCCATTTCTGATTCCAATAAAGTTTCGTATTATTTTAGCAGCAGAAACGGAGGCCAGTGCAGCGTCGGCTCCAGGAAAACTCATCAAATCCCCATCTGACACAACCTCCCCCACACACAGATGTGTCCCACTCACATCACCATCAACAGCTGACTTGTGTCACACACTTTGCCTTATCCCAGAAAAGAGGTACAGTGTCTTTATTTGCACAGTGATTTCTGAATTTGTAAGAATCAGGACATAATGTACCTTCAAATGAATGGAGTTAAAAACTGTCTCTGACCCTCTGTGAAATGTGATTTCCAGCTCAACCAAACCAAAGACAAAGACTGAGCATGCAGAGGAATCAGACATCTTCTGTAACGGGAATGTTCCCGTTCAGCACAAACGGTGGGACAACAGTAAAGACCATAGCAGCCACACACTTACAAGTGAAAAAAATAGCTCTATATGAAGCCAAAAACTGAGGCAGGATTTATGTGAATGTCCATGAATTATGGATTATGTGTGGCATTTCAGAACTATGCCTGAAGGGTGAACGCTGAACAACTTGAAGATAGATTGTAAAATTATTAAATAGCTGTTAACAGTCGAAGCCAAACAAGAGTTGTGGTTCGCTGATGGTGTTCTGTGAGACTGAGAGAGAATTTGTAATCTAAACATTTCTTTTGTATTACCTCACGGTTTTATTGTTAGATTATGTGATAAATTTATTTATTTATTTATATTGTACTGTAAATCTTGTTTGGGAAGTCATGTCTCATGTCTAGCAACATCTTAGTCTGAGGGTTATATTTTTTGGCAATGCAGGTATGCAACAAAAGATGTCGCTCATCCGTGCTTATTGGCTGATGCTGCAACTAAAGTAACCCATAAATTGGCGTTTATATCTCTAAGTTTTAAGTTATCATGTTAAACTTGTCAACTGTCACAGATTTTGAGAATGTAGATTTAATGCTGCTGTTTCACTAAATGCAACAAGAAACTGGTAAAATATGGATTATGTTTCTGTAGTTTTATTATAGAAATGTGGCTGATTAACAACATTGCTTTCTTGTAAATGTTGCATTTACATTAGTAGTCGGTCATGTATGAGTTCAATAGGAAGAAAGATTTGTGAAATGGAAGGTAAATTTAACAAATTACAAAAAGTGTAGGAGATACTTAATGTAGACAACTTAAGATGTCAATATGAATATTTTTTATGAATGTGTTTATCTTAGTGGCTTTATATTGACAGATCAAACTAATTCTTCCACCAAGAATGTGTCATGATGTATTCTAGACAATCTTGAAACATTCATTATACATTGTTGAAACATTTTGTGCGATTTTATCTTTATTGGCCTCTTTTGGAAACAAGTTACTGATTATCAACAGCACTACTACTCCTGGCCATTCCCATTGAGCTGTGGTGACCTGTGACTGACAAAAGTCTCAGACTATCAAAATGGATACCACAGAGGTAAACCAAAAGGTGAAGTAGAATTTCAACAGAAATGTCTTTTGAAGAGGTAAGTGCTGTAATAAATAACTTGTTCACTGTTTACACTTGCTCTTGCATGTTTTGTATTGTAAAACACTAATGAATATCTATACTATTATAATCCACAGAGGTTTTATACTTATCATTTTGTAGGCTCTAAGTCTATGAATTGAGGTACGTTATTAAGGTAATGTAGTGCACTGGCCATAGACTTGATTTCAGCGATATCATTTTCTTTGTGTCAACAGTCAAATGTTTGGGAATATTTAAAATTAAATGAAAGCCTATTTTTTATTCTTTGCTTTTGCATATGGGCTTCATAAATGATAATTAATACAGCTGTGTTCAGCTTCACATGTTGTGCCATAAACTGATATTACTTATATTGATCTCACTGATATGGCCTCTTTTAATTCAGTTGGGTGGTGGGACAAGGAGAAAATCACAATAAATGCTGTGAACAGTATGGTACAGAGAGCATTTTTTTTTATTTTAGAGTGGGTGCAGCTTTTTAGTTTTACAGATCAACAATACTTGTAATAATATAACAGATGCAGTTTAAGCGCACTGAGCAGTGCAGCTGCAGGCCAGGTGAGCCTCTGCTGTTTCCTTCAGGTCCACGCTGTTGTCGTACATGCTGTGAAGATTACTGGCAGCATCTGCACAAGTGAAGGGATCAGAGCAATTAGGAACTGAATATTTTTCACCATATCTTCATGTTCTGTGATTTCTAGCAGACTCACCAGTTGGTATACAGTGGAAGCCAACAGTAACAGCTGTGGTTTTCACAGGGAAGCAGCCAGGCAGGCAGCGCAGCACAGGCTCAACAGAGTAGCATTTGGATTCCTGGCCGTGGACATTTACCTGCCTCTCCAGCTGAATAGATTCAATCTTCATACGGCACTCTTTAAGAGAAATGTGTGGAAGAGTGAGCATGTATGTGAAAATGAATGTTGCTGTTAAAAGGATTCCAAAATTAAGTTTGTATCTCACCAGTGGTGTCTCTGCAGCTCTCAGCGGGAAGAACCCAGGAATGAGCATAGCTGACTGCGTTCTTGGTCAAGCGTCCACTTGGTGTGCGGTACTCCTGTCTGACTTCCCCATCAGCCTTTCCACACAGTCCACAGGTCTGTCCCTTCATCCAGTCTGCAACTTTAACCTGCATGCCAAGATCAGACATTGCAGACCATCAAATATGCAGTCTCTCAAGTGAAATAGCCCTTCAAAGTAGTCTTAATCTTTTTTTCTGTGAGGCCACAGTTTTAAGCTTGAAATTTCTCATAATTTATGCAAAAACCCTTTATATTTAAGTTTAATGTTATTTAAAATTGTATCTGTTCTTACATTGCCCACAATTAATGTTAGATTTACCTTCCATGAGTTCTTGTCAAAGTAGACTTCATGAAGACCATGGCTGGGAGCGAACACAGAGATGCCTTCACCCTTTGGTCTTATCTGGATTTTAGCTGTAAGACAAAAAACATTTCATAATCATTTACTTGAAGCAATTTAAATTCAGTACATACAAGGGATTTGACAAAATTTTCAGCTCCAACAGAACCATGTTTTATCGATGATTTGTAGCATGATTTGTTTTACAATATCAAATTACATATTGCTGAGATTTTGATTGGCAAATGAATATTTACAGAAACCTGTTGGATGCTGGTATGGCAGGTTGTTGATGGGTATTTCCATTCCATTGACCTTCACAATCACGTCAGTGTTCTTCGGGTACATGTCAATATCACTACAAGTGCAGAAATGAAAATGTTAAATTTAGTTTTGTCAACTTGTGGATGAAAGTCACTTAATTGTTTTTAATCAGCACTCACATGTCAGCAATCTTGACATTGATATGGTTCTGTTCAATGTGATCCTTCTTCAGCAGAACCATGAATTTCAGCTCATTGGTGCAATCCTGTGCCAGAACTTGGTAGCAAGACAGAGGCATCTCGTTCTTGTATCTCCTGTTGTTGAATGTGGTCAGTGTGTCTCTGGTGAAGGTACATTCAGCTGTGAAAAAAAGAAATAGTTAAATCTTTTGCACATAGTCAAAAGTAACTGCCAATACAATTCATGTTCAATAATAAGGTCAGCCATTACCTGCGCCAGCCTTGGCAAACAAGTAGTGGACTTTATCAGCCAAGTCATCGAAGGGTGTGAGACCTGTGATTTCCTCAAGTGGCAGAGTGATGGGAAGATGCAAAGCCAGCTTATAGACAGTACGCTGTAGATGGAAAAATTCATAATTATTAGAAATAAGTTAAATATGTTAAAATAAATAGGCACTCACATTTTGTTAGAACAACTTGATTATTAATACCTCTGGTGTTTTCCAAATGAGGTCAAGTGTCCTATCAGATGTGGCAACCACAGTAAATGAAAGCTGCTTGGCACTGTTTTCATCCTTTTCTTTAATCAAGCCAGCCAGCATGGAAGCAGGAATGTAGTCATACACCCTTGAAAAGAAATTTACAAATATAATTTGACATAGTCCATATTGCATGTAAGTAGGCTAAAGACAGTTTGTATGAAGTTCAGCACTTCTTTGCGTAGTGTTTCAGGGCAGAAGGTAGTTCATTCCAGGCCACTCTGAAGCGAGCTGCAGGGCTTGGACCAAGAAGACCAGTCTCGGCTGTGATCATGGTGTCGTACTGCTTGCATTCTGCTCCCCAGGCGAATTTGGCCTATCAAGAAACAGTACAGGTGGCGATAAGGCAACTGGTTTTAAGGGTAGTCTTTTAAATGTTATGTCATAAGATCTATAAATTAAGCAAGACAAAGTCTTACTGTGACTTTGTGCTTGCTTAGCAGAACTCCATCAGCACAGAACTTCCAGTTGTTATCGGCAGCCAAGGCAGCTAGAATGATCTGAATTCTGGCAGTAGGTCTGTCCAAGTAGGCAGACAGTTGGTATCCCTGCATCTTGTTGTCAGCTCTGACAGCACGGAAGATGATAGCAAAAGTAGGAGCAGCTTCATTGCCAAGGAACTTGTTCTGTGGGATTAATCAAAGTTAATCCACTTAAGTACACCAACAAATCCATCAATGAAAAGATCTGAAGGATGTTTTTGACCAAAATGACAAAGATTCACCTTTTTGTAGATGGCCTCAAAGCTTGAAGCACTGCTTCTGCTCCTGGAAATTAATGCTGATGTGACTTGAGAGGTGAAAGCCTACAATATATAAAGTTAAAGGCCATCATGAAAAAGCTGCAATGTGTTCAAACTGTGCCATACATTGTCTTTTGTTTGAAGCACCATCTTAAACATACCTGTTTCTTGTGGTTCTTCTGGAACTTGTGGTGATAAGTCACTCGCTGTTAAGAGAATGAAGACTTTTTTTTTCAGCTTCCATGCTTAGTGTAATATATGTATGGATTAATACTCTTTCATGCATACTCATGAAACAATCTTGCAGCGTTTACCTTTGAGAGATGAGCACTGGAGCTAGAGGAACTTGAGCTAGCACTGAAGAGTGATGCAAGGCTTGATGCAGAGCTGGACCTGGAAGATTTGCTCATAGATCTAGAAGAGCTGAGGCTGCTGCTGCTGCTTCTGCTGCTGATTTTCTTGCTGCTGCTGCTTCTGCTGCTGCTGCTGCTGCGAAGTCTACTGGCTGGAGCAGCTGCATCAGTGGTCTTGCTGCTGGCACGAGATGAGGAGCTGGAAGAAGCAGAAGAAGACTTCGAACGAAGACTTGAGCGAGAGCTGCTTGAGCTAGAGGAGGAAGATAAGGTACCATTCTTCAGACCAGGAGCCAGGATTCTCTTGAGCTTCATTAAGACTGGTCTTCCCTCAACAATTTCCTCTTCACTCAGGTTGATGTGCTTAATGAGCTTCTCTGCAGCCTTTGGTCCAACTTGAATTTCCATCTCCAGTCTCTCAATGGCCTCACCTTCAACTGAAAGTATTATTAAATAATGCCATTAATGCTTGCTTCATGTATGCTGCTTCAACAAAAAAGTGTTGGGCTGTCAATACTTACTTGGTTTGAATGAAAGAGCAATAGAGTGCTTTCCAGCCAGTTTGTACAGGGCAATGTCTTTGAGGAAAGCAGCGTTTTCAGTTGCAACCTTGATACAGCCCTTCATTCCAATGGCAACAGTCTTAGCACAGTATTTCTTCTCAAATTGAGCTGCTCTGAATTTTATAGTGGGCTTGGTAGCTGCCATATCCTTGGAAATTATCTCTGAGGATCTTGACTATGAAAAGAGAGACATATTAATTATACTGTAAATGGAAACACTATTTTAGCCATATCAAAAGGTCTGTTCAGAACTCACCAAACTAGCTGAAGCAGAAGAAGTAATCTTAGATGTGAGAATCTCCCTTGAGATGGACTGCAAGACTTTGGCAGGGATAAGGGGAGTGATTTTTTCAGCAGCCAGATCCTCAATATTCCTTGCCACAGCAAAAGTCTCAACGCTGTTGAAGTAACAAGAACTTAATCATGTGGGCTCTAAAGATAAATACATTTTCAGCGTGACAGAAGTTTAATATTTTTGAGGGTACACGATGAGTTAAAAACATTAGGCTTACTGCACAGCTGCAATGTGTTCAGGTACAGAAACAGGCAGAGCTTCAATCTTAAAGTAGCCCTCGTTGATGTCAAGTCTTGCAGCAATTTTGGCGGGCAAAATTGAGTTGAGCTTGGCTCTTGATAGCAGAGCAGCCTGGAGTATGGCAGTGTTTACCCCCATCACAGCAAATGTGTTCACAGCAATGCTAGAAGGAGTAGACATTTGTATATAACATTTCATGATGTCATAATTTTTCTGCTCATTTTTTATTGTAGTTTTAGATGTTGCACCTTGTAGTTTTAGATGTTGTACCTACCTTGGTCTGATCTCAGTCTCAAGCTGCATGTCTGTCTTCAGAAGGTGAGCAATATGGAAGTTTTCAGGCAGAGTTGGGGTTGTGGTGGCCTTGACTAAGAAAACAAATAAATCAATATATCACCTCTTAGCATAATACTTTTAAAATTCTTAAGTAGGTGATATTATATACAACATCTCACCAGTGCTTTAATGCTATTTTTATGAAAGCCTAACGCACTGTTTTCATTTTTCTTTGGAAAGGTAATTTTTCTTTTTCTTTTTAAGGATTGCAAACAATTTATTTGGTATACATTATATAATGGGGTTTTGTAAGATATCATTAAGGTATTTTCAATTGTTAACAGTATTGGGCTATTACAAATGACTGCTTTCAAAAGTACTTTCGAAGGCGAATCAACACCTTTTTTGATTGGCTTAAGGTGGACTATTCAACTGGGATAGGTCGGACCTGTAACAATCTAAACTGATGTTTTGTAGCTTCTATTTACTGTGAACAGCTGCGGCAGCCACAGCAGCAGTGTAGAGACTGAGCTCCATTGGAAGACCAGCAGCAGTAGGCAGGATGCGCCGCACCTCAGTAGCCAGCAGAGGCTTAGCAAAGTGGTAGGAGGCACCAGACAGCAGAGCCTTGATAGTGTTCCTACCAAATGCCTGAACAGATGGTGCAGTAGCGAGCTGTAGGAGAATAATTTTGTGAGTAGAGAATTTGTGTAGTGCAAAATTGTGACGCAATGTTGAATGAAATTGTCCTTGAAGTTTTGAGACATTGTCATTTGAATCATACCGCAATGGCCTGATCAATGAAGGCTTTGTCAATGTTGGCAAAGGCAATTTCTTGTCCAAAGAACTTGACATAGACAGAAGCCAGAGGCTTCCTGTTGGGCAGAGACTTCCACTGAGAGAGCTGTGGACAGAGGAAACCATGAGGTGACATTGTATGATTTTCTACTCTTGTATTTGTTACTTGATGGGGTTTTATTGCTTACAGCCTTAATGACACGCTTCATCTTGGTGATCCTGTCAGCACTGTCAATAATGGCATGGTTTTTCAGAATAGCCTCTTGGAGTCCCTCAGTTCTTACTCCAACCTAGGAAAAAGTCAGCATGTTTGAACAATTACTTTCTAATTAGTGATTGAATGTCTTAAGAGATATGTTTTCTTTTCCCTTTACCTCCAGAACATCAGCAGCAGCTCCTGCAAGGTAGGCACTAGTCTTAGCCACAATAGATCTGGGCAGAATAGTCGCAGCATCATTGATGTAGAAAGCACTGGCAGCAGCACCAAGCATCAAAGGACCTGACAAAGAGTGTCAAATAGTCTGTTACCGTCAATTCAACATGCTTTACAGATGGCAACTGACAAGCTGATAATAACACAGAACAAATATGAACAGTAAAAACAATTCGAGACTAATGCACACAAGAAAAAAAGGTGAATTGTAATACATATAAAGTATGAAAAACCAATATTTTGACCATCTTCTTGTGTGTAAGCCAGGAGGAATTGTATTGATAAAAATTCACCCTTCTTTTGTAAATTATTTCCTAAGCATTGAATGTTGTAGTTGTGTGTAGCCATGTTTAAGATTTATATATACCGCCACTGACAGGCAGATAAAAGTGCGTAAAAGTTACTTATAACAACGAAATAAAAAGCCAGATAAAAAAAGTGAGTTAAAATTAGTTAGCAGTTAAACACTAACAAAATTTTTTCTATTTCTATTTTTTAGATAAATACAGACATCCGATCAAAAAATGTATCCAATTGTGGTGCAAGCACTGGTAGAACTCGCAGTCGTTTGGGTTTGATGAGATGACGTTAGATGATACTATTGACAAAAAGAAACTTGAGGTAACTTAAACCAGATGTGATACATTGTTGTGTCTTACTGTTATAGATGTCCATGTGGATGGCTTTGCTGAAACGGAAGCTCAGTCTGTCCAGCCTTGGGCTTAAGATTTTGACAGCGACGTTGCAAGCTGCGGCACTGCATAGAGAGCATAAAAGAGCTTGGGTAAATATAGATCAGTTCATGCAGATAAGACTTGATGATGAATCGGGATCAGAGAGTGCTCTTACACTGAGGCATGGATAGCGGCTGTGCTTCTGGTCAGGGACTTCATATGAGAGTAAGTGAAGCTTGCCACCTGCAGATTCTCCTCTGTCTTCACAATGTTGGCAAGAGTTGTCACCAAACCCATTGGAGGCCTTGTCTCAAACAGCACAATGCATGCAAGCATACGAAGCTCTGGGTGAAGAGCCTTGTCCATGTAGAGCTGTAGAGCCAATTCCTGGATCTAATTTTCAAGAGAAAGCTAACTCAATATGGATTTTTTTCAGAAAATTTGTTTGAAATACTCTTTGGTGTTGAGAATTCACCATTCTGGGCTCCTTCTTTGCAATGTTCCTCAAGGCCATGATGGCATCGGCATGGACTCTCATCTGCAGAGTTGCAGCTGCAGTTCCATGTATGGGCAGGATCTTTGTTATCGGCTTAAGGCTAGAAGGATGACCAGCGTTACCCAAAACCTTCAGCAAAAGGATGATTTCTGGGGTGTCATCCTTAGCGACAGCCTCTGCAAGGAGCTCCTGGATGGGCTGTGGGAGAAAATGAGAAATTAAGATCCCCTTTTCTCATCCAGAAATGGGCAGAGGACTTTGAAGTAATATGAAAAGAACAAGGTTACATCACCTTGATGAGTTCAACAGGGCACACAGCCTTCTCAGCACAATACTTGGAAATCATGGTACCGTAGCCAAGGAGGACAATCTCCCGCAGAACTGGGTTCTCAAGTACTTTACTGTTGACTGCCAAGGTCTAAAAAAGAGCAACAATCAGAAATGTTTCATACCTCCATTCGTATTACCAACAAAATAACTTACTATTTGATTTACCCACCTCGATCAGCTTGATGTTCTCAGTGTTTGCTGTTGCCATGTGAACAGATGCAATCAAAGCCTGAGCTGTTTCAGCAACAGTCAGCTCATCAGCTAGGAATTTCTCCTTGATGAATCTCAGAGCAGCAGGTGTTCCAATAACAGGGATGGCATCCAAAATCCACTGTCTGAAAGAGGAAAATGAAGTGAGCGAACCTGTAAACATATTTTTCAAATATCTTTTTCAAATGTTCAAACCCTAAAACATCACCTGTAGGCAGGTCTGTTTCTGTATTGGCTCCAGAGCATTTCCAGGTCTTCAAAGTGGGCTGCACGGAGGACCTGAATGAGCTCCAAAAACTTCAGAGGAGCATCCTCATGGACTCTCACCATGTTGTGGGTGACCAGATGATTAAGAATCTCCACAATCTGAGAACACAGGAATAGAGTTGAAGTCAATAAATGTGACAGAGATTCACAAATTTTTATTCATAACTTTACTGATCTTTTAAAGAGATAATGCACCTGGGCCTGTGCATTGGTGATCTTGATGAGCTGAATGGGTGTCTGAAGAAGTTCAGTGGAGAACTCATACTTGAGAGATCCACGGTGAAGATACTGAGCCTCGATGGGTACAATAGGGGCCCTTTGAACCTCAAGGAATACCAAGGATTGTCTTGAAAGTAATATGAAAAACAATTAATCTGCAGCTCGGTCAAATCCAAACACTACCATTATAACATTCCTCAGTATATTTTAACATACTTGGTCTCCATCTGAGCAGCTCCGTTCATCTCAGTGAAAGGTGAGAACTGGATCAACTCAGTGACGGCTGCCTCCAGGATTAGGATGCCACTACCGACTGGCTTCAAGATGTAATTGTATGCTGTAGCTCCTCTAAGGTTCTTTGAGTCCTGGTAAGATGAAGCACACAGTTGCTTGATTGAACATTTTCTACTTTCATGAATGTACGCATTATACAAATTGAGTGTGAACCTACCTGCTGGCACTTTGCACATTTCTCAGTGTATGCCATCCCCAAGTCCAGCATGACCTTCTCCTGACAGTGGTTCAGGTCCCTGGTCTTTGTCAAAAGGATGCGTTCAGCCTTTTCGTCCTCAGTGATGGCATAGAGGGTCTTGCACACACCCTGAGTTCCAGCCTAATGAGAAGAGCATATGTTGATTAGAGAGATTCAACTTCCTGTAATGGATTTATAACCAGTAGGATCTTTAACAAACCTCCTGCAACTCGTAGACATTCTGTGTCTTCTTGATGTTCAGCTGAAGGACATTCAGGATACCTCTGTAGATGTTCAGCACCAGTGTGGAGGTTCCCTCTGGGGCGAACATTTTTCCCACAACACCGTTGGCATACTCAAACTTGATGGGAGCCATGAGCTGAGCTGCCAGTGCTGAGGTCAGCTTGGTTGCTGGGATTAAAGGATCCTTAGGCCAGATGCCACTGTACTCAAAGAGCTCAGGTTCCACAAGCTACAGTGTAAAAATATGATTTATTACAGGGCAATTTGCATTTTAGAAGTAAAAAAACTGTTGCTTTCACATGATTTTGATCTTTACCTTCAGCATGTAGATATTTTGGGCTGCGGCACTGATGAGAACTTTGCTGCTGACTTTGACTCCAGCTTTTGCCAAACCTTCCTCTGGCAAACCGCCCAGGAGAAATGCCTCATATTTGTACACGTAGGTCTTACCAGCAGCAAAATCAGGAGCTGAAAGCACAATTTCATTCAGTGAGAGGTATTCTACATTATATCCAAAACTATAAGAGTCATTTATGACATCATATGAACCACAAATTGGGAAAAAAACATTTATTTTACTTGGATCATTCACTTTCATTTAACTTAAGCTGTGTTGCACCATTGTGTTTCTGGTTACTTTTCAGTGTCCATATATTCTTTGGAAAAATGAGAACTGTTTGTTAAGATTATAATAAAGTACTGAACTTACCCAAGCTATGTGGTTGACCCGCTAAAATGAAAAAAGAAATGAATAATGAAGTTATAATTAATAACATGAATGATTAATAGCAATAAATAATAAAGTAATACTAAAGTAAAACCATTAAATCTAGTTTTTAACGTTTTACCTTTTTTTTTTTTAAAGCTGCTATATTACATTACATTAGCCTGTATATTATAATATAGCAAATTCTCAGATTATAAAATGGCTTTGAAAAACACTTGAAACAGCAACCAGTTAGTTTGCATTGAAACATACATATACAGAATGTTGTTTGCTACAGGTGCCTATTTAGAATGAACAAAAGTCATTTCCATTAGATGTAAATAATGTTAAGAAAATCATACTTCTTTTACTACTTTTACTAATTTTAGGGTATTTCAACATATTAGATCAAGATTTAACCAGAACAAACATCAATTTGATTTCACTTTGCTTGCAGTTTAAATTGGTACAGTAAAACTGAGGGGCAGCTGCACCATTAACTAAAATAAAATACAAACAAAGACAAAAGACAAGTAAAACCAAAAAATCCCTGAATGTCAAGGCACAAGGTTATAAACAGTATTCAACATTTCTTCTTTAAAAATGACCACATAGAGTGCATAAGTTCAAAACAGCCAATGAAAAAAAACATCAATCATTTCTAAAATTGCGATCAAAACTGCATTTTAAAAAGTAGAAAAGATTCAGAAAACAGAAATCCTACTCACCCACAAGGGCCAGAGTCAGGGCCAGGACAACTGCTCTCATAGCTGAATGGAGATGTAAATGCCTGAGTGATAGGCAACCTATTTAAAGGGAAATTTTGTGCTGATTAAAGTCCAACAAGGAAAGTATTATATGAACCCTGCCATGTTTGATGTTTCATACACTGTATTGGGTTGGGTAGGGTGACAGGGTGTGTATCAGTGGATGAAAAGTTAGGTTCACCTGACCTTGTTCTCCTCAAATATGCCAAGTCAAAGTCAGGTATCATGTTTTAAAGCGTTTACTGTGAATTAATTTTACATGCATATATTAAAACAAAACCCTGTTATCCCACAACAATCCATACTTTCGTTTAAAGTATTAAAACTGCTGGCCGTTGCTTTATGTTCTCTTATATTGTTGAAAATTGTTGGAAAAATCTACCTTTTCCTCAAAACTTCAAGGAAGATTTGGGTTTTCTTTGACCTAAGGGTTATAAGATCCAAAGTCTTTGAATTAATTAATTTAACTGAACAGAATTTACATTCACACTTTATTTCTGTATTAATTAAAAATTTTGTGACTGCCTTGAATGTTTGTGGCATCTCTCCATTATATTGTTGACATACAGTTTCAAAGTTCACACAAGAGGGCAGCATGACTATCGCTGTTTGCTCACTTTATTTGTTGTGGTCAGGGTGGCCACTGATGTCATGACATTTCACAGTGAAATATTAAGTTCTATTTCATTGTGAAATGAAGTGACCATTGTTATCATAGATTTACAGAAAGTGTTAATTTTCTGGTTGTTGGTGTGGCTCTGTCCATTTCTTGAAAATGATCACTTAAGTTATAGATTCCAAGCATATAATGTAGTCAACAATTGCTTCAGTAAAACCTGTCAATGTTCTGTCTTTTATTATTTATTGATAAAATAATACAGAATATCAATTTGAAAATATACTAGATATACTTTTGTATATACTAGATATACTTTTGTATGAATGGCTCTAACACTGAATAATGCTGGTTAAAACCCACAACAGCAACATATGATGCAAATTATCGAAAAGTCTTGATAATAACTTGATTCTAAGAAGTAATTAAGCTGCATATACAGTTTATAAATTAAATAAATCACCTCCTACTGCCACCTACAGCCATCCACATTTCTATAAATTAAATAGTTGTTTTTGCATACAAGCTTGTTCAGAAGCTTTTTTGCCCACTGGAACTCTACACAACAAATAATACAATGGCCATACCTCTCCAATCACCGACTTATTTCATTCTTTCTGACGGAAAAATTCTTTATGTACTATATTGGGTCATTCCTGGAAGTTTCTCATCTTAAGTTAGATGGATAAGGTAGTTGCAACATTTCAGCAGCAATGCTTCAGTTTAAAGATTTTAATTGTTTGGTTATATTTGACATATACAAATGGTGATTTAGTTGCTCTACAATGCGGCACCATTACTTTAATATACTGTGTGGTACACATCTGGAATTATAAAACAAAATCAATTAATGATGCAGTACCCTATAACTGGTTGTCATTTTCACTGACACACTGTCCCTCTCATTCTCTGTGCTTTATACTCTGTTGACCTCAAGTACCTGGCACATACTGAACAGGGCACACAATGCAGCTTCATTATGGTTTGTCTAGATACCAATCAGTACATTTGTGCTGGAGTATGTGGCTCCATGTTGTTCTAAATTTATTTAGGAATGTACACCATGTTATTACAAATTCTAGTGAAATAATAAAAGTATTTCAACTAGATTTTGACACATTAACCCTCTACAAAACAGGACCTCAACAACAACACTGAAGAGCGCTGATATTATAATTTAGTGCTGCATACTTAGTCCATGGGCCAGAGGCCAAAATTTCACTTGTTGGTACCACTCAAGGTGGCAAAGGTTACTTATAATTTTTGAAAGAATCCATGTCTGTAGATGATATTTTAGCATGATAACCCTTCCTGAGACACAGCTGTATTAGAGTTATCAGCTGTTGAAGTTAACTTCCCCCTTAGAAAAAGTGTATTTTAGATGCTGGTGCATATCTTAGCTCATGTTCAGGATATTTGTCAATATTAAATAATATTGTGTTTGGTATCATTTTAAAGGGGACACTCTAAGCTTTCATTCAAGCCCTGTTGTGAATCTTTATGACAGATACAGAGTTCACTGGAGCTCTTCAAACTTTTAATCACACACATTTTTCCAAACTTTTCACCTAAATCATATACTTTCTTTTAGTCCTGTGACATCAGGGAACATCAGAGACACAAAACACACAATTCTCCAAGGATTCTCCAAGGATTCAGGAAATGTATAATAACCTTATATACCTTATATTAGAAGGGCAGTTTTACTCAGAAAGTAACCAGACCAAAGTCAGTTAGGTCACAGACTTGTCTTTATGCATTTCTTCCAATAGACAATGAAAATCCAGCATAATAAGTTATACCACAGTGAGTTAACAATTATGAACAACTATGAACAACATTGACATTTGTATAAACTTGGTCAATGTGGGATATATTATCGTTAATGTTACTGGTATCCAGCTTTGTGTGCACTTAGACAGCATTAACAAGGGTAACCAGGTCCTGAATCACCACACAAGGTATACTACTACTACTAATATTACTATTACATAAATACCATCAGAATCATTACACTGTGTTACTCATCAAACTGATCATCTCTTTCATCATCTGACTCCCTAAGTTCTGGATCATCCGGTAATTTTTGGTTACTGCAGGTCTTCTAACACAGTCATTCTTCAAATTTAAGGCCTGCAATCATGTCTCAAAATGAAATGATATAGGTATATTATACATTTCCTGAATCCTTGGAGTCCTGTGAGTATTCCAATCTTTTTGTTTTGTGTCTCTGATGTTCCTTGATGTCACAGGACTCAAAGAAAGTATATGATTTAGGCGAAAATTGTGGGAAAATGTGTGTGAGTTTGAAGCGCTTGAGTGACCACTGTACTTTAAGATTCACAACAGGGCTTGAATGAAAGCTTAGAGTGTTCCCTTTAAAAATATTTTTAAACATTGAAAAATATCTTGAACATTACCCTAAACCAAGATATGCACCAGCGTCTAAAATGCAATTTTTTATAGGGGGAGGTTAACTTCATTAGCTGATTACTCTAAGGGTAGGGGTTATCATACCAAAATATTATCTACATACATGGATGTTTTCAAAAAATTATAAGTAACCTTTGCCACCTTGAGTGGTACCGACATCTGGTCTGACCCATGGACTAACTCACAAATACATTTGAAATTATTCAAATTCCCTCAAACCAATTAATGCATTTTCTCAGATAGTAATTCTGATAAGGCTGCAAAGACAGACTTTTCTTCTGTTTTTGCCACATAATGGATCTGCAACTTTGCTTTTTGGACATCCTCAGATATACAGGATAAGTACTTTGACTATGACTCCAACTGCTGTCCGATTATAAAGGCCACCTCATTTATTGTCATTTTAAATACAAATTTATTTCAAAGTGATAGATAGATAGATAGATAGATAGATAGATAGATTGTGAGTAAGGTCTTCATATGCATAAATTCTCATTTGTTAAGAAACCCTTACGCCACATAACTTACCATAAAACCATAAATTGTCTTTATATGTAATTTACTGAGCTTTACAGGTGCTGGTAGGCTTCCCTCTGCTTCCAGTCTTCATGCTACATTAGGCTAATTGACTCTTTCTTTTCTTGCTGAGAGTGAGATGATAAAATCAATACTACCCTCATGTTTGTGAATATGAAGCTATAAATCTAGCAGCTGGTTAGCTAATTAGCTTAGTGCATAGACTAGAAACCGCTCCACCCAAATGCAAAATAGCCCATAGCAAAAGCAACCTGTAGCAAAAGTTCACTAAACCTCTTTGTAATCCCTACAGAAACTGAAATGTGTCATTTTAACACTTAGATTTAGGCAGATCTAACTGGCTGCTGGCTGTATATTCATATTTAACAATCAGACATAGCTTTTAATAACTAGCTAATAGTCTGACTTCAGTGTTCTGTTGAACACGAGTATATTGTAGTACTTTAGTACTTTGTAGTACTGTAGTCGTTCTCTAATTTTAAACCACAACCACTCCTGAAATATTTGCTGTCATATGACAGATATATATTGACAACACAGTAATGATGACCAAGAGGACTATCTACTACAGAATGGCTGTCAGCCTGTTAATATGACAATAGATAGTTATATCTGGCTTATTCTTATGATTTATTACAAGTAATAAAATTACATGTAATACAATTATTATGTATTCTACAATAGAAGTGTTGCAGAAAGCAATCCCAAGCAGTTACAAACAAAGGTTTGTATGCAGTGGAGAAAATTTAGAGACTGTTTAATGCTTTAAATATCTGGGTGTCATTATGAATTATAATGGTTCATTTCAGATTGCCATCGAGAAGCTGCATAAGCAGGTCTCCTGTGCAGTGTTTTCCATTTTCTGTAAATGTAGAAAACCTGATTTACCTGTAAATATTACACTAGATGTTTGATTTTTGATAAGTTAGTTACACCAGTCATGTTGTATGCATGTGTGTAGGGGTTTGAAAAATTAGATATTTGGAAAAACTACTCCTCAAATTCCTTAAAGTACATCTTAAAGGTTAAAATGACTGCAATGACCCAATACTGTTTATGGGGAGCTGGGAAGATACTGCAGTTAAAAATAAAATTATTGGCTGCTTGGGGAGGCCAATAGTTGGATAATCATTAGCAGTTGGATAGTTTACAACTATTTGTTCAGCCTGAATAATATGGCTGTATATGCGTCACCATGGGTCTTGCAGGTTAAACCAAAACTAGATGACTGTGGTTTGTCTAATCTCTGGCTCACACAACAGTGTAACAACATTGAGTGGTTGAAAAGAACTGTTGAGCAAAGGCTGTGGCAAAGTGAGCCCAGAAGTCTGACATCATGTGATATTTATGTAGAATTAAAACAAGATTTAAAGACTTAAAGACTTGTTGTGTGGGAACCAAAAGTACAGATGGGCTTTTTTGAGCACTGAGGTCACTGGAAGATATGAAGAGCTGGATAGAAAAGAGAGGATCTGTGAACTTTTTAATGATAATTGTTTGGGAAACTAGTAGGCTATCATATTTTGTCATACAGAGCTGCATCCAGGCAGGGTTATCATGACTTCATAGTTTAGAGTTAAGTGACTCTGTCACCAAAGATTGCAAAAAAGAAAGTTTGACATTGAAGTGGTGTTTTCATTTAACAAGACTGTGGAGGAAGTGTGTTGCTGAAAGATGAGCTTTCATTTTCTACTTTTTTGAGGACATGAGGTCATGCCTGTTGGTTTAAAATATTTCCTATTTATTTATTTATTTATTAGGGATGTTTCATTCCAACATGTGTGATAATGAGTTTGATGGATGAATGATCTTTTAAAGGACTCAGTTTTCAGTGGTTTTTTTTTTCGTATATAGCAGCTGCATTTGAAATAAATTTCAGACAACAATTACTTCACATGCTTGTGTAGTTTATTTACATTTATGGTTCAAACAGACAAATTAAGAATAAAACATAATATGACTGAAGGTAATGAGATTACGCGCACTGAGCAGTGCAGCGACATGCCACATGAGCTTCTGTTGTTTCCTGTAGGTCAGAGCTCTTCTGATAGATGTTGCTCAGACCCTCAGAGCGGTTCAGGTTAGAGTCTGCAACAGTGGAGAGAATAAAGCAGTTAGGCTCCAAGTAGATGTGCTGTAACTCAGTTTTGTGAACCAGGTGTGAGTTCTTGCAGACTCACCAGCAGGCAGGCAGTGGAAGCCAACGCTGACAGAGGTGGTCCTCACTGGTATGCAGCCGGGCAGGCAGCGCAGCACAGGCTCAACAGAGTAGCATTTGGACTCCTGACCATGGAGGATCATCTGCTTCTCCAGCTTCACAGACTCAAGGTTCATGTAACACTCTGGAAAAGGGAGAAAAATTAGTGAAATATTTCAAGCCTTTATTTTCCAGCAGGTGCCAAGTCCTGCTGGAAAATGAAATCAGCATCTCCATGAAGCTTGTCAGCAGAAGGAAACATGAAGTGCTCTAAAAATTTCCTGGTACACGGCTGCGCTGACTTTGGACTTGATAAAACACAGTGGACCAACACCAGCAGATGACATGGCTCCCAAAATCATCACTGACTGTGGAAACTTCACACTGGACTTTAAGCAACTTGGATTCTGTGCCTCTCCGTTCTTCCTTCAGACTCTGGGACTTTGATTTCCAAATGAAATGCAAAATTTACTTTCATCTGAAAAGAGGACTTTGGACCCACTGGCAACAGTCCAGTCCTTTTTCCTTGGCACAAGTAAGATGCTTCTGACATTGTCTCTGGTTCAGGAGTGGCTTGACACGAGGAATGCAACAGTTGTAGCCCATGTCCTGAATACGTCTGTGCGTGGCGGCTCTTGATGCACTGACTCCAGCCTCAGTCCACTCCTTGTGAATCTCCCCCAAATTCTTGAATGGCCTTTGCTTCACAATCCTCTCAAGGCTGCGGTTATCCCTGTTGCTTGTGCACCTTTTTCTACCACACTTTTTCCTTCCACTCAACTTTCTATGAATATGCTTGGATACAGCCAGCTTCTTTAGCAATGACCTTTTGTGGCTTACCCTCCTTGTGGGGGGTGTCAATGACTGTCTCCTGGACAACTGTCAAGTCAGCATCCTTCCCCATGATTGTGTAGCCTACTGAACCAGACTGAGAGACCATTTAAAGGCTCAGGAAACCTTTGCAGGTGTTTTGAGTTAATTAGCTGATTAGACTGTGATACCGTGAGTCTACAATTTTGAACTTTTTCACAATATTCTAATTTTCTGAGATACTGAATTTTGGGTTTTCATTAGCTGTAAGCCATAATCATCAAAATTAAAATAAATTAAAATAAACGCTTGAAATATTTCACTCTGTGTGTAATGAATCTATATAATATACGAGTTTCACTTTTTGTATTAAATTACTGAAATAAATTAACTTTTCCATGATATTCTAATTTATTGATATGCACCTGTACATATTTTTACCTATGGCAGTCTTGAGTTGAAACCGAAGCCTGATATTCATTGTGTCTGTTTTTTTCTATCATCTAATTAAAGTCTGTTATTTTGTTGTTGTTTGTAATTATCATGTAAATTTCTTTTATGTACTGCATTTCTGCATCCTGAGTATAAATGATTGACTGTCAGTATTACCAGAGGCATCACGGCAGCTCTTTCCAGGCAGAACCCAGGAATGAGCGTAGCTGATTGCGTTCTTGGACACGCGTTCGTTGGGTGTGCGGTACTCCTGTCTGATTTCCCCATCAGCCTTTCCACACAGTCCACAAGTCTGTCCTCTCATCCAGTCCACAACTTTAACCTGAAGAAAAACTCAAACAGTTGAGTGTTTGTGGGACTGCGTTTTAACTGCGCCATTACCATTATGCACATTAATAAAAGTTTAAATCTAGAAAAGTCACACAAGCAAGTTTTATTGTTTCACCTTCAGTGCGTTCAGATCAAAGTAGACCTCCTGAAGACCATGGCTGGGAGCGTGGAGAGCGATGCCCTCTCCTTTCTGTCTGATCTGAATTTTGCCTAAAATGAATGCAAACAAGTATAATTATGTGATTTTTAACTTTCAACAAACTGAATCATCTATGTTGACAGCTCGATTTGATTTAATAAAACAGAAAACCTGTGGGATGCTGATATGGCAGGTTGTTGATGGGGATTTCTACTCCATTGATCTTCACCATGACAATGTTGTCCTTTGGATACATGTTGATATCACTGTTGAAAAATTTTATTAAAATTAGAATTAGAATTGTGCTTTATCTTTTTATGGGTAGTTCTCACGATTTAGATATAAATACTGGTTGTTCTTACATGTTTGCAATCTTCACATTGATCTGTTGCTGTTCCAGTGTTTGGTCCTTTTTCAACAGAACTATGAATTTGAGTTCTGAGGTGCAATCCTGAGCCAGAACCTGGTAGCAAGAGTGGGGCATTTCATTCTTGTATTTCCTGTTGTTGAATGTGATTAGGGTGTCTTTGATCATGGTGCACTCAGCTGGAAAAAAAAAAATCAAAGAGTTAGCTATGTGCAGATCTGTTTCAAAATTCAGCTATGAAAAACATGAAACCTGCTCCTTTAAATGTTTTCACCTGCATGAGCCTTGGTGACCATGTAGGAGATCTTCTCAGCCCAGTTGTCCTGGTATGTTTGCAGCTCAGCAGCAGTGTCTCCAAGTGGCAGTGAAATAGGCAGACCCACTCCAAGTTTATAAATGGTCCTCTGCAATATCAAATTAAAACAGAGAGCACATATACGGTTTGAGTGAGGTATGACATTTTCTGTGTATTAATAATAATGGGCAATAAAACCACACCTTTGGTGTCTTCAGCACAACATTCAGGGTTGTCTCAGAAGCAACAGCCACAGTCAGTTTGATCTGATTATGAATATTCTTGACCTTTGCCAGGCTCACTCCGGCTTCATGAGCAATACGGGAAATGTACTCAGAGATCCTGGACAGATACAAAGTTATGGTTATTTTTATTCATTTTAAATAGATGTTAATTTAAATGTCCACCTGTTAGGTGAGTAGGAAAATAAAGTAATGCAAAAGAAAGTAATGAATTACCACACCTTGCCATATCTAAAATATCTATTAAGATCAAACTGTTGCATTTTCAATAAACTCAGTGATTACGATGCACAGTGATTGATTACTTAGACAAAAATATTTGAAAATGTGTATTAGTTTGTGACATTACTGCTTTGCATAGTGCTTCATGCTCTTTGGAAGTTTGTCCCAGGTGACCTTCAGGCGGACAGCAGGCTCTTGACCCACAAGACCAGTTTCAGCTATGATCTCAGTCTCGTATTGCTTGCATTCAATGCCCCAGGCAATCTTGGCCTAAGAGAAATTTAAATCGGAGTTAAATCTCAAGCGCAGAAATTTTAATCATATTTCCATCTCAATTCATGTCACAAAAATCAAAGTTTTTACCATCAGCTTGTGGTTGCTCAGCATCATACCATCAGCACAGATTCTCCAGTGGTCATTCTCAGCCAGGTTAGCAAAGATGACCTGCAGTCTGGCAGTGGTTTTGTCAAAGTAAGCTGCGATCTGGTATCCCTGAACCTTGTGGTCGGCTCTCACAGCACGGATGAGAACAGTCACAGCAGGAGTGACAGCGTTAGCAAGGTACTTGGCCTGAATGTGCAAACCAGAGATTGATGTTAATGAAAGTTTAGATTTTTTTCCCCACATAATACTGTAAATGCTGTGGTTTAATGACTTACCTTATTGTAAATGGCTTCAAAGCTGTAGGCACTGCTCTTGCTGTTGGTACGGGCTGAGGAGATGGCATGCTGCAAACAGAGAAATAATACATTTAGCCTGCTCAAACGGAGAACATGGTGTGGCTGTGTCATGCTCTTTACAACACAAAATTACCTGGTGGATGTGGTTCTTGGTAAACGACATGTCATACAGTTCTTGCTGCAACAGAAAAATTTGTAGATTAATTCCTGTACATACTTTAATTCCACTGTGTTTCCATGTCAGCAATGAAGTTGTATCTCACCTTAGACAGGGAGCTGGACCTGGAGGAGCTGGAGCTGGAGCTGGAAGAGCGGCTGCTGGAACGGACTGATGAACGGCTGCTTGAAGCACTGCTGGAGGAGCTTCTTGAACGCAGGCTTGATCGGCTGCTGGAGGAGCTGCTGGAGCGGGTGCTCAATCTCTTTGATGTCTTGGTGATGGGGGTGTCAAAGTCGACCATTTTGCTCTTGCGGCGAGAGGAGGAGCTGGAGGAAGACTTGGATGATGCAGAGGAGGAGATGCTTGAACGAGAGCTGCTGGAGTGAGAGCTGCTGGAGCTGGAGCTGGAGGAAGTTGCTGTTCTGTTCTTCAGACCAGGAACCAAGATATTCTTGAGTTTCATCAGGACGTTCTTGTCCTCGAACATTTCCTCTTCCTCGCTCAGGTTAATCACTTTGATGATCTTTTCTGCTGCTTTATCTCCAACCTGAATCTCAACTTCAATCTTCTCGATGACTGGTCCAGCAGCTGCAATTAAATAAATAAAATGATACATTTCTTTTTAGGAATTTCTTATACGATTACTTTTATCAGTAATTTAATCCATTCCACTTGCCTGGAGCAACCTCAACTATGACAGCATGTTTTCCAATTATGGCATAGAGCGGGCAGTCTCTGATGAAGGCGGCATTGCGAGACTCAATCTCTGTGCATGCCTTTATTCCAAAGGTTTCAATTGCAGCACACATTTTCTTTTTGAAGGCTTTGGGTACTTTAAGGCTGTTGGCAAGTTTTCTTGGCAGGTCAACAGAAATGATTTCAGATGATGATGACTGAAAAACCACAACAAAGATCACCATGTTATTTTGGAAGAGTGTAGGATTTAGTGTTGGAAAAGGCTGTCAGTCAATCAAACTCACCATGCCACCAGCCAGAGTGGATGCCAACCTAGAAGCCTTTGAAGAGAAAATCTCCCTTGACAGCTGTACTGCAGCCTCAGCTGGAATCATTGGTGTGATTTTGGCAGCTGTGAGGTCTTCCACATTTGTTGCAATAGCAAAAGTCTCAACACTGTTGGAGAAAGGAAAAAATTGTTTTAAGAAAGCAAAATCTCAAAACTGGATGATACATTTTACCTTGGGAGAAGGAAAGGTACATACAGTGCAGATGCGATCTTATCGATGCCCTGAACAGGCAGGAACTGGAGTTTGAAGTTGCCCTTAATCATGTCAATTCTTGCTTCCATCTTTGCAGGAACAATTGTGTGAACTCTGGCTCTTGACACCAGGGCGGCCTGGATGAACGCAGTGTTCACTCCCATAACTGCATAGGTGTGCATAGAAACACTGCAATGGACAGAAAATACAGACTTTGAAGGATGATCTCCTTGAATGATGATATTTGTTTTTGTTTTTGACAACAGTACAGATTTTGGTAAACGAATGAGAAGAAGCTTATTCAAGTAAGATATGTCCAGTTTACCTTGGAGCAATTGCAGCTCTCATGTTAATGTCAGACTTCAAAAGCTGGGCAGCATGGAAATTTTCAGGCAGAGGTGGTGTCACGGTGGCTTGGACTATGAAAAACAACAAATTTTTAGTATCAGTTCCAATCAATATTTCATTTTTAGTATCATTATTAATAAATATTTCAGCTCAGTTAAGATACACCAGTGGTACTTACATTCAACAGATGCAGCAGCCACAGCAGCAGTATAGAAACTCAGCTCCATGGGCAGACCAACAGCAGTGGGAAGGATGCGACGAATCTCAGCGACCAGCATGGGTTTAGCATAATGCAGTGTGAAACCAGACAACAGAGCATCCAAAGCCTTCCTGCCTTGAGCATAAACTGCAGGGCCGGTGGCCACCTGTAAACACAAAATAGCTCATGAGACAACAGCTTTTCACTTTAAAATATAATGATTATTTCAAGGTCATAATGTGTGTAACAGTAAGAGATGCTGTACCTCAATAATCTGATCAACAATAGCCTTGTCAATGTTGGCAAAGGCAATTTCCTGTCCGAAGAATTTCACATACATGGAGGCCAGGGGCTTGCCTGAAGGGTGAGCCCTCCACTCAGAAAGCTGTTAGGAAGACAACAGTTAATGAAATTATGCATTGTAGCTTTTACAAAACAAAATGAACTTTGATTATTGTTAAAAGGAAGTAGTTTTAGCATTGGAGTCATCCCTTGTACTTACAGCCTTCATGACTTGTTTCATCTTGGTGAGCCTGTCAGCATTCTCAGGAGCCTCATGGATTTTCAGAAGGGCCTCCTGAACTCCCTCAGTTCTTACTCCAAACTAAACAAAAGGAGAAAACATAACTTGTGTAATATACTATAGACATATTATTAGATTAGTATATATCAGTATATCATAGCTATAGTATAGCTCTTACAAAATGAAGTCTTCTTAAGACATTGACAAGTCTTTCATTATTTAAACTAGCCATACAAGACGTGATCATCACACCTCAAGGACATCAGCATAAACTCCGGCCAGGTAGGTGCGAGCTTTGGCCACAATGGCTCTTGGCAAAACAGTTGCAGCTTCGTTAATGTAGAAGGCACTGGCAGCAGCACCCATCATCCAGGGGCCTGCAGGAAGAAGTCAAGAACCCTCAAACCACATGTTTTAATCTGTAATCTGTAATGGTAAATTATTCATCGGTTATCCTCTTACTGTGGTAGGCATCAAAATAGAGAGCTCTGCTGAAGCGGTAGCTCAGTCTGTCAAATTTGGGGCTGAGGATCTTCACAGCAACATTGCAGGCTGCAGCACTGAAAGTAGAACATTAGAATATATGAGATTGCAGGTGCAAACATGTTTAAAAATTTTTTTTAAATGCAAATGTGAATATTATTCAGGTCCTTACACAGAAGCAAAGTCAGGGATGGTGTTCTTGGTCATGGCTTTCATGTAAGAGTAGACAAAGCTAGCAACCTGCAGATTTTTTTCTTTCAAGAGGGCATCAGCAAGAGTGGTCACCAGACCCATTGGCAGCTTAGTCTCAAACAGCACAATAGCAGCAACCATGCGGAGCTCTGGGTGGAGATCCTTATCCATAAACAGCTGAACAGCCATTTCTTGGATCTAATTCACAAAGAAGGGTGTTATAAACAAAACTACATTACAGGATAGGTCTGAAGTGATTTCACTTTTAGTAATAGAAGGATTCAGAAAATCTAGTCTCACCATCTTGGGCTCTTTCTTTGCGATGTTCCTCAGGGCCAGAACAGCATCAATGTGAATTCTGTGTGGCAGATTGGCAGCAGCACTTCCAAAGCCAGGCAGGAACTTCATGATTGGTTTAAGGCTAGCAGGATGTCCAGCATTACCCAGAACTTTAAGAGCGATAGTGAGCTCCTCAATATCACCTCTGGCAAGAGCCTCAACAGCGAGTTCATGAATGGGCTGTGGGTAGAACAGAAAAGCATTCATGTCACTAATGCTGTAACTGAATTTAATCATATCAGACACATGCACAAATGATACATACCCTCACAAACTCAGCTGGGCAAGTTGGGTTCTCTGCACAGTATTTGGCAACCAGAGTGCCGTAGCCCAGCATAGCGATCTCACGCAGGACTGCATTTTCTCGGATCCTGTGGTTCATAGCCAGACCCTGTGGAGAGGTGAAAATAAAGAACTGATTACTTGTCCATGTTTTCACATCGTTGAAAACACACAAGACCACTTTTAACCTTGACTTACCTCAGCAAGTTTGATGGCCTCCAGGTCGGCTGTCACCATTTGCACAGATGCCACCAGAGCTTGAGCAGCTTCAGGAATAGTCAGGTCATGAGCCAAGAACTTCTCCTTGAGGAACCTTAGAGCAATGTGAGTACCAATGGCAGGGACAGCGTTCAGGATCCAATGCCTAAGAGAAAATAGAAAATACTGTGTTATTATATTATTTATAACATTTTTATTTCATGGCCCTTCGTTGATTGAAAGTTGCAGTTACCTGTGATCGGGTCTAGCTTTGAACTGAGTCCAGAGAGCCTCAATAGTCTCAAATCTGGCCACACGCAGCAGCTGGATGAGCTCAATAAACTTCAGAGGGGCATCCTCATGAACCTTGGCCACATTATAGGTCACCAGGTGGTTCAGAACCTCAACAATCTGACAAAAAAAACATACAAAAATACAATGTTTCCCGTATTATGGTTTGTAGGTACAGGATGGATTCAGCAAACATCTGGTAAAAGAGGGAACATTGTCTGAAGTACCTGAGCCTCTGCGTTGCTGATCCTCAAGAGCTGGATGGGTGTCTGGAGAAGCTCGCTGCCAAACTCATACTGCAGAGATCCACGGTGAAGATATTCTGCTCTGATGGGCTCCACTGGGGCCCTCTCAATCTCCAAAAAGGTCAGGATTTGCCTGTGAATATATGTAAGCACTCAATTAATCTGGAATGTGTGACATTTTGTGCAGTGGATAGTGGTTGTGATAGTATTATTGCTCTCTCCTTTTTAATTTAAACAACGTACTTAGCCTCCATTTGGGCAGCGCCATTCAAGATGTTGAAAGGAGAGAACTGAATCATCTCTGAAGCAGTTGCTTCCAAGATGATAGTGCCGGTGGCTGCTGGCTTCATGACGTAGTTAAAGGCAGCGGCTCCCTTCAGGGTCTTTCCTCTCTGCATGAACAACCAGACCCACAATATTGTCACACCTGAACTATAGTGGACTGTATTGGAGGACAGGAAGTGTTAGAGAAATTGCACTTACAGCCTCACACTCAAAGCATTTCTCAGTGTAAGCCAAGCCGATGTCCTTGATGATTCTCTCCTGACAGTGGTTCAGGTCCTTGGTCTTGGTCAGAAGAATGCGGTCAGCCTTGGTGTCCTCACTGATGACATAGTGGGTCTTGCACACACCCTGCGCTCCAGGCTAGTTCACAAAAGTCAAAATATAGTTTGTCAGTTTTAGCGTTTTAGCGTTGTGGCATTTTGTGAGTGAAACTTTGAATGAAAATGAGTAATTTATACCTCTTGCAGCTCATAGATGTTGTGAGTCTTCTTGATGTTCAGCTGGAAGATGTTGAGGATTCCCCTGTAGATGTTCAGCACAGTCACAGAGATGCCAGCCGGTGCAAACACTTTACCAACAAGACCGTTGGTGTACTCAAACTTGATGGGTGTCAAGAGCTGAGCAGCCAGGGCTGAGGTGAGCTTGGTGGCTGGGATGAAAACATCTTTGGGCCAGATACCACTGTACTCAAAGATTTCAGGGTCAATAAGCTGTAAGGAAAAAGTGACAGGTTGAATGATATGTGAACATAAGACAAATCTGTCACGTTATTAATCACTTTGAATGTGTATCAATACTATATGGTCTTTACCTTCAGCATGAAGGTGTTGGCAGCCGCTGCATGGATCAAAACTTTGCTCTGGATCTTCACTCCAGCCCGTGCCAGACCCTCCTCAGGCAGGCCGCCCATGAGAAATGCCTCATATTTGTACACGTAGGTCTTTCCAGTAGCAAACTCTGGGGCTGCAATAATATTGAATTATCCTTCAGACCTCAATAGTCAAGAAAACCCAGTATATTTAATCAATCTATTTGTATTTCAATAAAACATCAAAATTAAGACAGAAAAAAATATTGTCTTTCAATATTTATGCACCGGTTTTGTTAAACACATTCATATGTGTTGAATGATCACATATTGGACATATAAAGTAAAAAAAACTTACCAAAGCTGACAAGGTTACCAGCTGCAAAGTAGAAATAGAAGGTTATTTGGTGCTGATAAAGTACATGCACAATATAGAGAAAAGCAGTGAATTTGTAAAGGATAAAACTGAAAAAACTATTTTCTATTCTAGGAGTGGTTATATTATATACAACAGTAGCAAAGGCTAGTCTTTCTCCTGAATCAGAATTACTTTGAATCATTGAATCATAATTTTCTCTCTAATAAAACTAATTGTTGCTCATCTTCACAGTGATAGTATCTCATTCTACTAAGAACACCATTTTCAAAAAATGAAGATAAATTAAAACCAAATGAGTTTAAAATGCATTAAGACATACTTGCGAGGGCCACAGCAAGAGCTAGTACAAGCACCCTCATGGCTGGTGGATGTGATTGACTGCCACCAGAGGCTTCCTTTTAAAGCCAGATTTTGCTGACTAAGTGCCCATCGAAGTGTATCATTAACTAACTATTAGCTTTCATTGTCACTGATGTTCCCATTCCCTGTAGATTAGACAAATAAAGTGAAAAAAACAAAACGATGAAAAATGTCACAGATAAAATAAATTATTTTAACCTCACTCTTGGCTCATGTGGCACAATCAGCCTCCATCCCAGATACAAAGATGTTTTTCTCATATGGCATAGCACATTGAACACAGATAAAATGGAATGCTAGTTTATACAATTTCAAACTACTGTGCAATAATAAGATTTATCCATAAATAAATAAAATCATCCTACATACATTTCCCCATAAAGTAATATTCACAATTTTATTGACGTGTCTTATTATTCAATAAATAGCCCAATAAAAATACAGTTCTGTTGCATCCAATGACTCACACTCACATAAATTATTATAATTGACACATATTTTTCTGAAATGCTATCATAGGATTGTTTTCAGTTGCACAAACATGGGAAGGTTCCAATCTTTCAATCAAATGTCATTCTGTCCTGACCTATAATTTTGTCACAGTCCTGTCAACTTGCTCCTTGAACTGTTAACTGTCCAAAGGCAACAATCCAGCAAGTTTAACATGACATTGGAAGTGTTGTAACTGAATGTACTGTTTTTTAAAATGGATTTAAAAATCCATAACATATTGGACCTTATTAATATACTATCTTCACAAGGCAACAATGACATCCCTTTATATATTTTTTTGAAAATCATCATCATCAATCATCATTTCATCATTTGGCACTTAGTTTCGGTTTAAAAAGATATTGTGGGATCAGGCCTTTACATATTTCTGAAATGACACCTCCTTCATTAAAGCCTGTCAGGATATAGTTTTGTCAGTATTTTTACTGAATTTAGCTTGACCTCCCTGATCATTCTAATGCTCTGGGACACACAGTGCAAGCAGGTCAGAGAGGTACACAGGTGAGGTGAGGCAAGAAGATCAACTCATTGCTGCTTGTTCAAACTGACTGTTCATGGCAGGCCAAAACAACCTTCACTGTTGTTCTTCACGTTGCTCTAAAACATTTTCAGGTCAGGCACAAGTCCACATTAGTCTTTTTAAACAAGTATAAGTAATATTTTATTAAAACTAAATGATAAAAAATACATCTATGACCCATGAGGGCATTCTTTCTTTTACAATACTAAACTGTTTTTACAGGCGATAATGGATCTGAAGTTCTTAATAAAAACATAGAACATGTCAGATAGACCTTAAAAAGTCAAAAGTTCCGTCATCACAGAGGTATTTTATTTTTTATATTTTCATCCCTTAGATCCTTTTGATTTCTATTCTTCCCATCCTCCTGGCATCTTCCTGGAGGCCCTTGTTTTATTTTTATTTATTTATTTATTTATTCATTTATTTTACAGTATTCTCAAGTCTATGGTTCTCAATAAAAGAGAAATAAAAAAAAATGTTATCTCTAAAAGTGTTGCTCTAGCAGGTATGTGGCTTTTTCCCTATACACCTTAATCCCCCATAAAACATTTCTTTAAATCAAATTTAATTTCATCAGTCAAAAGACTGTGATGTAAACTTGTGTGTCGCCTGAACACGTTTTAGAACAACATATATTTGGGTGAGTAAACAGTGTGTATAGGTTTTTGAAAACAGTCTGACATATGGGGGGGGGGGGGGGTCACGCTGACCATCAAATCAGGCGAAGTCAGCTGATGTAGAAAACGAACGCACCCATTATTTCCATTTTGTGCCACAGCTGTTGCACCTTTATGATTTTGTTTACTGCATTTTGTTTACTTCGTTTCTCGTGTGTACGGATTGTCGACTGTATTAAGTTTGTCCCATGTCACACTCCGTACATGGAGCCATGACAGTAACGTGATTTGTTTCTTCACTCGGTCACCTCACTGGGCTCTATTACTTTCTCAAAAAATGTGCTGGTTTCTCCTGTTGTTGTCGTCGGTACTCATTGTGTGTGGGGCTAACGTGTGTCCGTGTGAGAGGCCGGAGCTCTGTCTGCAGGTCCATGAGGAGAGAGACTTTGAGGTATTTAACTTCAGCTTGTTGACCAGCAAACACAACTTGCTTCAACGTATTGAATGTCCACCCTCAGCACAAACTATCATGCAAATTGGAGACTGTGTCGCTGTAAACAGAGAGATAAATAAGCCTCGACAGCCGTCAACGCTGCTGCTAAATGACAGGTGTATTTCGACATTATGACAGAATGTAAGATTTAAAATGGGTATTAATAGTGATGGTGAGTGAGATAAAGCTTCACGAAGCACTGAACCAATCCAGCAAAGTCGTTTGAGAAAAGGCTCATTTCCTGATGTTTCATATCAACAGTACGACATCTACTGGCCAGAATATAAAATAACCAAATACTAACCTTTGAGTTTAAACCGTGATGTGTTTTTCCCCCAAGATTACTTTTATGCTAATTACTGTAAAAGCAGTCAACATATTTTTCTACACATTGAAGGTGTTAATATCAGTAGAGGTGAGCTCAATATCTGTGTTTTAACTGAAGTGGGAAAACTGAACAGTCAGTGTGAGCAAATAACATGTATAACAAAACATGATTTTGGAAAAAAACACAAATGAATTTTTATTAAGAAATAGCAACTCTTCAGCTGTGTTGGGACAGGAAGAAGGAGCTAAACCAGCACTGTAAACCCTGTTGTCGAACTTATCCACTGTAGTTTCTGTTGTAAATTTCAGTTTGAAGTTGCTGTTCCTCTTTATGGATGCAGTGTGTCTGTTCTTTTTATGGTGTTATTTTGATATTTGAGGCAGTTCCCCCTCTGGGAACAATTGGCCTCTTTTAGACTTCTGTGTTCTGTTACTCGTATATCAAAACTCTTTTTTAAAGACCCCGTTTGTAGCTGGTCATTTATAAGTGTTCACTTATAGCTGACACATACTTCTAATAATGCTCCTCACAGGGGGCAATTTGACTTGTCAAACACAGGTGCAACTAATTCTGTGTATAATGTATTATATTTTTTCAAATGGAAAGCAACACATTGATCACAGTTTGCTTTACAGGCCAAGGGTATGCTTGGGCTACCCCTAATATGAACAGTTTTAAGTTAACCTCTTTAACTGTTGAGGTATGTCATCATTGATATAAAAATATTTTTTCCCTGTCAGTTTGCAGCTACTACATTATTATTATAAATATATATGAATAGTGAAATTCATGGTAAGCTGCAACTACTCTGTAAGCACAAGAGCTGCAAATAGGAAAACACTGCAGTCACTGTCTGGGGGATTTGCCAGTAAATAAAACAAACAAGAAAATAATAGGACACTAATGGAGTATGAATAAAAGCAGTTATCCATACAGTTATGTGTCTGTGTGGCTTCTGTTTTCAGGTGTTTGTGTTTGATGTGGGTGGGAAGATATGGAAGTCCTACAACTGGAGCATGGTGACAACAGTGGCGACGTTTGGGAAATATGATGCTGAACTCATGTGTTACGCTCACTCCAAAGGAGCGCGAGTTGTCCTCAAAGGTAGGGTAACTTTCACTATGATAAGAATTGATGTGGTTGAGTAAAGTGTTTAGGTTTTGCAAAGATAAAGGGCTAAATGAGCTACCTACGTCAATATGACATATTGAAGAAAATTACTCAAGTCTTAAGTTTAAAGTTTGTTGTAGTGGTGTGAGTTCATTAGTATTCCAGTATATGTTGAGGTGCTGCTGTCAACAGTTCAGTGACCCATTGTCCATCTCTGTCTTTCCTTGTTGGTGCGAATAGGTGACGTTCACCTCTCTTACATTGTGGACCAAGATAACAGGACAGCGTGGATAATGGAGAAAGTCAACTTGGCCAAAAGTCAGTTCATGGATGGAATCAACATCGACATTGAACAAGCTGTGGAAAAGGGCTCGCCTGAGTACCATGCTTTGACAAACCTGGTCAAAGAGACCACTGAGACTTTCCACAGGGAGATCCCAGGATCCCAGGTGGGGGAGATGTTTTGACAATATCACTCTGAATAGGTACAGGCGAGACAATAGATGAATGAAGTGCTGTACAGCTTTGCTAACCTGCCTGGTCTGACATATGTATTTCAAAAGAATCCATCATGTCTTATCATATCTTTCATATTTATTTTATATATCTTTTCCTGATGTCTAGGTCTCATTCGATGTTGCCTGGTCACCAAAATGTATTGACAAGCGATGTTATGATTACGTCACCATCGCTGAATCCTGTGACCTGCTGTTTGTCATGTCCTATGATGAGCAGAGTCAGATCATGGGGGACTGTATTGCAATGGCAAATGCCCCTCTCTCTCAAACACTAAATGGTTTGTTGTTCAGTTATGTGGCAATGAATGAGAAAAAATCAGCTCGTTAGTGCAAAACTACTCATCACCACCATGTGAATTGCCTCTTATCTTTCTTTTAAGCTTATGACCAGTATTTGGATCTGAGGATCGATCCAAAGAAGCTAGTGATGGGAGTGCCATGGTATGGCTATGACTACCCATGCCTCAACCTTTCCCAGGTGAGATGTTGTTCATTTAAAATCTATACAACTTAAATGGCTTGCCAATAAACCTGGTGCACACATTCGTGTTCATTCCCATCAGCATCAGCTGTACTTTGTGTTTAATTAGCAAATGTTAGCATTTAAAGACACTGAACTAAAATGATGTTGAGATTATACCTGTTTAGGATCAGCATGTTAATTGTCAGTCAGTTTTGAGCATGATGGATGTGGTTAGCTTGCTGAAGGTAGCATTTAGCTCAAAGCACCACAGTACAGCCTCACAACACCCCAAGCATGGCTGTAGACTCTTAGTCTAGTTGTTCATGTCAACAAATAGCATGAAAAGAGCAAAACCAGCAATGAATTGATCTTCTAACAAGTGCTGCCTGTGTAGCTCAAACCTGATGCATTTTATTTGTGTTTGTACCATAGAGCTCCATTGTCATCCAAAACTATTACAAACACATCAGTGAGCCAGACCTTTGCAGATGATGACATGTTGCACCTTACTGCTGCTGTAACTTCTGAAGAGGGCACTTCCTGTGTTTTAATCTATGGTTCAAACTAGTCCCCAACCCATGTACTTTTTTATTACTGTTTATGTAATGTACGGAATTCCTGCAGTAGAAAGAGAAACGGACTAAAGCATTGTGTTGATACTTTTATAGGATTTGTTGACAGTAAAAAAAATGAAAACACCTGCCATATAGTTTAATGCATTACGTAAGGCACTATGAATTGCCTTTGATCTATGAAATACAGTATATTCCACAAATAAACTTGCCTGAAATAACTGACTATAATACAGTTCACAATAAAATTATATAGCTTTATAGAGTTTAAGGACTAAACTCTTTTAGCCTTTTCTCTTTTCACTGTGATTCATATAGGAAATTTACAGAATATCATAAGAATATTTTTTTCAATCCCAGAAAATGTTGTCGAAGACGAGGCATACTTCTCTTATTTCTTTATACTTACTTTATGGTCGCAGTATATCATAAGTTGTTCTAGCTGAAAGGTGAACACAGATATCCCTTAATGTTCTTTTTCCAATGACAGGAGGGAATATGCTCTATAGCCAAAGTTCCTTTCCGTGGAGCTCCCTGCAGTGATGCAGCTGGAAAACAGAAACCGTACAAGTGGATCATGAAGCAGGTCAACAGCTCGTTGTCTGGCAGGATGTGGGACAGCAGGCAGCAGGCTCCCTACTTCAATTACAAGGTGCATAATCTTTATTTTAAATTTCAAGGACTTCAAGTCCATCAGTCTGCATTTTGAAAGGTGGTAGGGTAGGATTTAGCAGGCAGAAAATCAATGCATTATTATTGCATTGTAAGAACTGAAGCATATTGTGTTTTTGGATCTCAACACAATAGGATCTAAAAGTTGTGAAATGTTTGTCTCTGCTGAACTGATTTTGACCATTACATCCATCTATCATGAATCCTTAAAATTTTTGCTAGTCCTTTGTAATTTGTGGGATTACTTAAAAAATACAACGTTTGGGTAGGATGTTTTATTATTAGCAAAGTGGGTGCCCAATTTAAGAATTATTTGTCTTTCTGCCAAGTTCGTGCTTCACCAACTTCACCTCTCCTTAGTCCTAATAAGTTAGGATTCAACAAATCAGGCAGACATTTCAGGCAAGGGCTGTTTATCTAGATGGTGGCATCCACCCGAGCTACCACAGTATCACTTCCCAAACAAAACAAATCGCCTCCTCGAAACAGCAATAAAAAACATTCCTGGCGAATGCCTTCTCGTTGAGTCTAAAAGCTTTCGCCTTCTCCACAAGGTGGTTCCATCATCAGTTCTCATTTTGTTGTTTCTGTAATTTTTTTTGTTCAGGACCAGCAAGGACAGATTCATCAGGTTTGGTATGATGACCCACAGAGTATTTGTCTCAAGGCGGACTCTGTGAAATCTAAAGGTTTAAGGGGCATTGGCATGTGGAATGGCAACATCTTGGACTACAGCGATGAAACGGTCGCCAGGCAGCAGACCGCAATGATGTGGAATGCTCTGTTAGGATGCTAGCTGGGATACACTTAACAGTGCTGCAGAAATTTACACCACCCCTGAGCTCACTCCTGTTTGTTGCTAAGTCAATATATCCCTTTGTAGCAGTAACGGGGTGTGACTTCCCTCTGAGTTCAGGGATGCATACTTGCACTTCAGAGTTTATTGTGGCTTTTATTGCTGTTGTTTTTTGAATGTAGTTACATCTCAGACATTCCTCTGTGCTAACTGAAATAACTGTGATTCTCTGAAAAAGAAAACCAATCTTTTCAATGTGTTTTACACACACACACACACACACACACACACACACACACACACACACACACACACACACACACACTAACACACACACACACACACACACAGTATTTTGACTGACCAATGTTGAGCTTGAGATTTGTGCACCTATATATTTTTCATAAATAAAAAATTTTCTGAGCAACATGTAAATTGTTGAAGTTACATAACCACTTAAACATTTTATTTTTAGCTTCCTTTAGCAACAAGCTCAGCTACAGCACCTGAGGAAAAAGAGAAGGAACGCCAAAAATATCAAAGTTGTGAACAAATCATACCACATAAAACGTAATATGACGTAATATTAAAATGTGGAAAAAGTAATTTCAAAAAATATAAAACGCAGGTTACAAAGTCAGAACCGATGTAGAAAGTACAACTGCATAAAATCAATGTTTTCTATCCCTCTCCTGAAACATATGCCACATAACAAAACCCATCTGTTCCAGCAGAGTTAGTCCTGTAAAAAATTAGATGGAGGTGTTTTGAACTTGTGGTCTGTCCCTTGTGGTATTTCCAAAGCCCAGAGAAGCCATGGGCACAGGATGAGACGACTGGCTTTTCTTCTGGGCCAGTTCAGCCTTCAGTGCCCTCAGCTCTGTGGCAGCCTGTTTCCTCAGCTACACAGCCATTCATTAAAAAAAAAAAAAGAATTTGTGAATGTACTTTATTAACAAGCAAAACTGACTCAATAGTTACTCTGTAGTGGTCAGGGAGTGATGACTAAATGTCCAAATGAAAAACAAACATTCATCAGCTATTTCTTTACTTGTTCAAGGTTATTGTCATATTTTTGATACAAGGAAAATCAGTCACCTTTATCTCTGTTACCAGCTTCATCTTGGCATGTTCTACCTTCCTCTTCAGGTTGTCAATCTCATGGATCTCTGTCATGATCTGAATGATGAGCTCATTCTGAAATATAAGATATTTCATTCAGTTTTTTGTGGTTTGGTCTCATTTTAAGTCAACAAGGTCTTTGATGTACATACAGCATTTGTATTTTATATACTCAGAATAAAAAGATACAGAAAGGTAAAAGATGCTTTGAAGAAGTTATGTAACCAAATATCATTCCCTACCTTTTAACTATTTGGCAAAACAGACAAACAAATACAAACAATCTTTATTGATATTTTCAGGCCAAAACTTCTTACAGCTTACATCCTATAGGCACATATAGTGTAAGTGGTCCATATTTTCCAGTATTTGGCAGTGTTATGGTACAGGTCAGTTTCTTCATACACGTTATTTTGTTGATGATTGCAGTCCAGTAGTTCTTTATTGGAGGGTTCCGCTGTAGCCATTTCCATGTGATGCTTTCTTGCAGCCGAGAGTATTTTAAACAGATTTTCATCCTGAGCCACAGTTCATCTTGGATTTTGCCCAGGTATAATTTGACAGAGGAGCAATCAATTGCTTTCCAATATGGAAAGATTATAGGGCAAACCCAGAATATATGAAAACAGCCAAAATCAAGGTTACATTTACCTTGACGGAAGATCTGCCTTGGCGTCTTGGCTTCCCTCTGTTATCTCTGGCCTGGAGCTGGTGCAAGAGTTTGTTGTAAAACGTCTCCATGTCTTGTCGTAAATTTCTCAGGTTGTCCTCCAGTGGAGCTGTGGCCTTCTTGGTTTCAAAATATTTCTTCTTCCAGCTGTCACGTGCTTTACGTTGAAGGGGAAGATAAGAGCAGCATAATTTAGTTACAAGTAGTTTAGTTATAATTTAGTTTTTTATTTAATCTTTTTCTCTTGAATATAATGGGGACTCATTTGAGGTCTTCCTACTATCCAACATGTGTCATCTAGCAGATGTGTAGTAGTATTTATTATCCCTTAATATTTGAAGGGCTCTATTTTGTTGCTCTCTTACAAACTGTTCCAAATATCACATTTACAGGATATAACAACAAAAAATCTTGTTTTTGTTGTTTTGCCTGTGAACATACAGTTTATTCACTGCAGACAATGTTTAAATCCTAACAGTATTTTTTGCCCACCTTGGTTCCTTCGGTGTCTGTTTAGGGCCAATAAATCTTTCCCCTTTCGTAGCAACTCTTGTCTAGTCCACTCCAGCTGCTTTCTCTCCTCCCTCACCAGCTTGATTTCTTCAATCAGTTCCTCTCCTAACAGGAACAAACCATGTCAGTTGTCTTAAAAGAAGAACGATCATTAATTCTTGGTATACAGTGACGACTTACTGGTTGTCTGAAAGACTGGAGAAGCAGCAGTTTTATGTGTGACCAAGGCCAAGTCTAGACCTTGAGGAGGAGAGGTACAACGAACAGGCCGAGACAGCACAGCTGGACTTTCTGTCACCTACACAGGGTCCCAACAGACAACCAATATAACAACATGAGTCTTTATCTGAAGACCGCACAGACTCCACTAAACCCACCTGCTGGCAGAGGAATGTGGACTAATCACTTTACCAAACGACTTGCAAGACACTGTTAACTTCCTGCTTGTTTTAAAAGCTTGTAAAAAAAAAAAAAAAAAACTTTCCAAACAACCTTTTTCAAAGTTTGATGTTCAAGAAGAAATGATGAAGAAAATATGCTGAGACATCCCATGTTAGTTTTAGATTGCTGGCACACATATTACCCCACTCGTTGGTTTACTCCTGACAGACTTCAGTCTATGTGCATCTTTTGGTTTCCCCAGCCTGCAAAGAGACACACTGTTAGAAGAACGAGCAGTAATAGCACTAGTACTCACCGCAGGGTACGAATATAGCACAGAGTGATGCTTTTGCTCACAGTACCTGCCTGTGATGGAGAAGCCTGAATCTCTGTCCTCCAGGGACTCTGCTACTCCTGAATCTCTAGCCGCTTTGTTTTCTCTGTGGTATTGTTTCTTCTTTCTGCAGGTTTTCTCTTTTTCTGGTAGCTCCTTCACCTGAGCTGAATCAGCTTCACGTTGGTGTAAAACTGTAGATACATAGAGCAAATAAAGCGCTCAGTAACATAATGAGAGATGTTGAATATTTATTTTTACAAGTGCTAAAAAAATGCATCATTAGGAAGCTGAGTGGCACTTTTTTTATTAACATTAAAACAAAAAAAAGGTTAAAAAAAAAAAAAACTTAACTAGAACGCTATATTGTGTCTGTGGTCCTATCTAAAACCCTCCTTCGCCTGAAACTAGCTTTTTAATGAAGATGTTGAATTGTTGTTTTGTAAAATAGGAATCGGACTGAATTATTTGCCATTTATTTTTCACATTTTCAATTTCTTTTGTAGCTATTAAGATTTGGCTGGGGGGCTTTAAAAGATAAGTAGGAGAGATTTTGGAACAAAATCTATTCTAAAACATGGTAAACATCAGCAGTGCCTTGTTTTAAGTTACAGAATGGCCATGTTTGTCAGGTAGACGGGGAGACAAATGTCCGAGCAGGAACTTGAGCAACTAAACTGGATAATACATCATTCCTTACCTCAGTGCAGAATGTATGTGTTGTACTTTTATTTTATTTTATTTTATTTGTACCTTTATTCAGTGAAACAGGTTCTGGTGCCCTGTGATTCTGAATCTTCCTTGGACAACGCTGCTGCTCTGCCCACTCAGGCTTGTTGGAGGAGAGAGCTTCCTCTTCATTTTCTCCATCTCCCTCTGAAGAGCTGTAGCTCTGCTGCTCATCTTCTTCCTCCTCCTCCTCCTCCTCCTCCTCCTCTTCCTCTTCTTCTTCTAGGCTGGGGGTGGGAGGTGGCTGATGGGAACACTGGGGGATAAGGGGGAATTTAACAGGCTCCTTTGTCACCGTTGGCAGGCTGCATGTCTTGGGAGGGTGGTAATAGGTCGGGTGGTCTGGGGAGCTGCTGCTGGTGTCTGGGGTGAGAGACTGGGAGCAAACACTGCTGTCGCTCTCCGCAGTGGACAGCAGGTAAAGCTCCGGCTGCGGGGCCTGCACCCACAGGTAACAACAAGACATTAGCAGAGTTCGAATGGCACATAATGAATATTCAAATCAAAAGCATATATAAGGAATCACTGAAATTCATGATATAAAATTTTCTGCTGAGAGCATAACAAACATAAGATTTAAAACTAATAGTTACACAAGACTCAACCTGCTGTGACTGGGAGCACAAGAGTGTATTAGGGTTTTCAGATATTTTGGTTATTTTAAAAACTATTTTTAATGATACCAAAAGGTAAAATCTCACTGAAAGTGTAGGAAAATGTAATATTTTATTTTTCAATTATGTACTATGCTAAAGAAAAAGGCACCAGTTCTAGGGGAACATGGATGAAACATGAATTCTACATACATACGGTGGCGCAAATGTTTTCACTTTCAGATCTCTCTCCTGTTTAATTTTAACCTGCAACAGGAAAGAATTAGGTTGGTGTCAGAATCATAGTAGTAAAAACTGTCTGCTCACTCACACTCTTTCTCTCACACTCTCTCTCTCTCTCTCTCTCTCACACACACTCACACACGTATTACACCCTTTAGTGTAGCAACCTGAATAGTGAACTTGTTAATCAAACTGTCTGCATAGTTGCTCTCTACTGTCTGTCTGGTGTAACACAACCAGCTATAGCAAAAGTCGCAAAACAGCCAGCTGCACTCACCAGTGCCAGACTGCGGCCCACACACTTCAGGAAGGAGAATTTGTTGATGCTCCTATCTGCACCAAGAAGAGTGCCCAGCTCGCTCCGCAGAGTTTTCAGAGTGGTATCAGGATAAACCCTAACAACACAGTGATGACAAGATTTTAAATTACTGAACTGTTACACATGTGTTCACAAGGTTATAATTGATATCTTTATCACTATTTTTACAGGAGGAAGGTGCATAACGTTAGTATGGGTTTCTGTAGGTTTTAGTGACCTGTTACGGTCTAAATTCTGTGAACAAATTACTGAGGGAAAAGCTGAATATTTGTTGGAACAAAGAAAAAACAGAAATATGTTTGTTTCAGTGTCATTGCTATAACATAGGCTATGTAAACTGACACAAATTGTACATATAGTGTACATTTTCAGTGTAGAGGTACAGTCTTTGCATATGTGCTGCTACAATACAATGCACTTATTTTATATTGTACATATAATTTTGCCCATCATAGTTTCATTTCTATCTCTAAATTGGATGCCATTAACAAAATGACACATTTCCAGCAGTTTCACCTGATGAAGCCTGCAGATATGAAGCTCTCTATGGCTTCAGCAGGGACTTTATTGAGTTTCACATTCCACTGGTCATCTGGTACATACAGCACATGGAGCTCCACAAACTAGACACATGAAACACAGCTTAAAACTTGACATCACATTTCTTTATGCATAGTGCGTGGAATCATGAGTTCGTGTTTATTTTTGAGTTTAGTCTAAATTTTGTTAAATAACAGTGAAGATTGAAAGTTCCTCAGCATACCTTGCAACTGGCCGGTCTTCTGTCCTTTGGGTATCTCGCAGACTCACAAGACAGCTCCATTATCGTAGCTGGTCAGCATAAGGAGAAGCTGAGAAATACTCTAAAAGAGGGAAGACTTCTGTTAAGTTTATTCGCAGGAAATCTTTTTTTTTCTTTTTTGTCTTGTGAAGGCGTTGACTGCTAAGTAACAACCTGTTGTAATCACACACAGTCAGCCGTCTAGTGGAGTTTCTTTTATGAGAGTGCCAGCAGTGGTTGCTCTGGTGCTGATGATGACAACTGCAGTAATGAGATGGAGCTTATCCCATGTGGGCACGAGAGCTGGCCCCAGCTGACATTTTCGGTTTCGGGTTCGTTACTGCGACATCTGCTGCCTGAGGTAATTCAGGAAACTTTTCCAAACGTACCACGAACTTTAATTTTTTCCGATGTTTCATGTTTTCCGAGACTTGTAGTGTGCGAATGCACTTTCACAACTAGAGGTCGCAATTCATATTGATCTGGTGCTGCTTTCAGGTACCGTGGGAGTTGTCGAAATTATTTTCTTCAACGGGAAATTGTAAAGGTGTTTTTTTTTAGGTACGAGGTTTAGAGCGACGAGAGCACTCAAACTGTACGTCGAAAATCTATGACAAAGCTAAATAAAGGATAAATTAACCAAAGCACAAGTTATGTGACCATGTGTCGTAAGTATGACTCCTGCATCCAATAATAATGAATTAAGCCATAAGCACAAATTATTTTACATTCATTATAGTTTAAATCAGGATTACGAGATGAGGTCTTCAAGTTTTTTGTGAATGCTATGCGCTTCCATTGCAATGTACAGGCTGACAAAAAGTCTGTCTGATTTAAAACATTTTCAGCTGCTTCGTAAAGATTATTTCTTTACGCTGCTCTGACTTTTTAGCACACATAATTAAGTTAATTTCCAAACATAAACATGGTTACTGTCATTAACACGCATGTATTATAATTTGTTTTTATTTCCAGTCAAAATAACAGGACACAGTCTAAAAATAAATGTAGAGTTACGAACATCCGTGAAGGTAGCAATGGCGGACACGCCTTCAAAGAAACCGGAAACTCTTTGTTGAGGAAGAAGTAGTTAGCAAGCTAGCTACCATCAAGGAATTCATTTTTAAAGTTTCATATTCGTCGTTATTTGGACGAAAGTCTCTCCAAATCTCAACAATGTCGGGATCATCCAACATCGTAGCGATGAAGAAAATCGTCCAACAGTTACGCCTTGAGGCCGGCATTAACAGAGTCAAGGTAACGGTTGAGATCGGTAGTTTTAGGGCGTGTAGTTTCACAGTCGCTTGTCACAGCGTTCTCTCGTTGTTTTAATACTGGTGGTGTTAATCAACGGGTCCGATATTCATTCAAGTTACAGCACTTATGGTGACTAAACCGTAGGCTAATTTATTGGGATTCGGTTGTTTTCCACAGGTGTCCCAGGCCGCCGCGGACCTGCAGCAGTTCTGCCTTCAGAACGCCCAGCAGGATCCTCTGCTGACCGGCATGTCGTCCAGCAACAACCCGTTCAGACCACAGAAAGTCTGCTCCTTCCTATAGCACCCACAGACCGACACTCTGCCTCGGTGAGTACCACACTCATAATCTGTGTTTTATCACTGTCAGAGGTGGAATACCCAGATCATTTACTTTAGTACAGGGACTAATACCACACTGTATATATACTTGTACTCTTGTATATGTGTGTGATCAAATCTCAAGTCTTATACATCAGTACCTGAAATCTCAGACCCAATCATTTGCCACAATGTATAATCAATATTATGTATTCAAAGTATTCAAAGCAAAAGAGGCGTTTTGATGGATACAAAACGCCTGTTGATTATGTTGGCAGGTGTTCCTATTATTTTGATAGGCTACAGGGCATAGGCATTGGACTGCAGCTAATTATGATTGTCATTAGGAATGAATCAGTTTACTATCTTATCAATTAAATGGATGATTATTTGGTTCTTAAAAAGTTTGAAAATAGAGATAAATGCCTGTCACATTTACCAAGAGGTGACAGTAGCACCCTCAAAAATCGCTTGTTTTGTCCAAACCTATATATGTGTTTAAATAATTGAAAGCAGCATATCTCCAGAAATGTCTGCAGAGCAAATAATTCTTCTCAAATGCTGAAACCAGTGGATTTTGCTTAAAAATTATCCTATCAATTGTTGCCAATTAAATTTCTCTCCATCAACTGGTCAAATAAATTACGTTACTGCAACCTCTGAAGTATCCTGCCAAAGCGCTGCACTGTTTTTAGTCTCTACGTGATTTTTCTCCTAAGTTAGTTCAAATTGAATGAGTTTTTCAACATTTTATTGATTGAATGGAAATATTTGACGTCTTGTGCATTGTTTTATAAATATCTTCTTGTAAATTAGCTTGATGTAAAATCTTTGAAACCTTTGTGATTTATGATTTTGAAATCTTGAGTTTCAACAATGCTTGGGTGCACAATGCTGAAAATGAAGGCACTAGAAGTCCAACTTTATAATGTTTTTGTATTACTAATTAAATTATATTTGTGCAGGTTTTGGACATTGTGGTGCCTTGTGGAACTGGGCTGCAGGATCCTGCATCATGGACTGGAATTGTCTCAGGAGTGTTAGGGAATTTCGGGACAAACAACTAACTTAAGTGTTTTTTTCTCCTTAATTTTGCCTTTGTAAAATCTCATAAGGAAACATTTCCAGGTGCTTAGGTGGCACGATAGATGTCTTAACCTACTGGCTTTAAAGTAACTTACTCTATCAACACACACACACACACACGTGCCTTTTGAATTGTACATTTTTTCATGACTGATTTTGAGAAAAAATAAATGGTATTTCCACATTTTGAACTTTTATTAAAATGAGTATACACACATTTAGAAATCTGTGAAATGCGTTCAGTGTGTCATCTGTAATTATTTTCACAGTCCTGTCACTGTTAATGTTGCATTTCATTCACTGTTCCTTATGTCATTTGCATAAACAAGGATGCAACAAGTGTATGTGACCAGGGCAGGCTCGCATGTGACATGTATAGAGAACGCACAGTCTGAATTTCTGATGTAATTCGGGCCACATTCATACAGTTTGTGTGGATTCATTTCATAGGAACCACACGTGCCAATACAATTTCCATATAAAAATGCAGGTTTTCAGGTAACTGGGGTTCAAATAGAGTGTCTGCATGTCTCTCCTCTGGTGTCTGCCAACTAACAGACAGGGTAGAAGTCATTGCCAGTTGGTCTTCAGAAGACTTTGCAGATGCAGCTGTTTTTCAGGAAGAGACTGAATCCACAGCGACGTGATCTTATAAAATCCAGTCGTCAGTGTTGAGCCTCTAATTGTGCTGAAAGGACAAGTGATAACTGTTGCTACTGGTCATCCACAAAGAATCTGCAACATCCACTGTAAAGTCCATTTGTGTAAGTCCACAAATAGCTGTAATATTTTAATAATCAAAGTCATCCTTTTTCTGACCACAAAGGAACGCTGTTATGTACTCAAAGCTGGAACTTCCGTCTGCAGGCATCCATCTCATGGCGCTGGAAACAGAAAAAAATATTTTTTTTTTCACTTTCTTTATTTTCTTGACAAGAAAAAAAACTGCAATAGATTTATTCTTCTTTTGTGTGTCAAATTTAAAAAGTACTTTAAACATGTTAGTCAAGTACATTGCCATCATTTACAAATGGCTACATAACAACTAGCAGCGAAGAGGTCAACATGTGTGCAATCTTAGACAAAGGCGAATACACCACAAGTGCCATGACAGTTTCACTTGGGTGCACAAACTGCCATATGTTGAAGAATAAAACTAAAGTGCTCTGACATTACAGTCCATTAGTTCAACCTTTATAGCTCTTCTGGCATCTAAAAAAAAAGGTTTTAAGTGCTGAAAGACTCACCTTCAGGACCCACTCATACTCTCCAAACCTTGAGTCGAAGGTGCTTTCTGTAGAGAGCGGAGTTTAAGGGTGAAGCGTGGTCCCAGCTCCTGAATGCCAACTTTCTTCTCATTCTTGAAGATGTACCTTTGAAAGATGCAAAGAAAGTTTATTAGACCTTCTACCTTTAAGACAAACCTTCTGAAAAGTTTTGCAAAAGGCAGGTTAGATTAGAAGGCATCATGTCCAGCTCCAAGTCAGACTTTGCACTTTAAATATTCACCTGTGGAATCTGAAAAAGATGAAGTCTCTCTGGTGTGGAAGGTGGGACCTGTCGACCCACAAACTGGGGGTCCTGCGGAAAGAGAGCAGCGAAGAGGCCGGCCGATGCTGTGGCCCAGACGTGTGGAGAAGTTGTTACAGGATCAACCTCTGGTGAGTGCTCTGTGGGACCCTTTACCCCGTCTCTGCAGAGAAAAAAGTAAAAAACGTTTTTTTTGCCTATTATTATTAGTGATAAAATGAAAACTGACATTGATGGTTGTGCTATTAAATTTAGTAATAGTCACACATTTTAAATACAGTACAGTAAGTGTACTGTATTGCCTATTTTTAACTTGATCAAACCAGAGTATGTAAGAGTGACACAAGTATGGATTTCTGTACTTGCCTTTATCTCCTTCCGTAGTCGAACACTGCTGACCTTGAAGTGTGCAGTCGCCGCCGTCAGGTAGGTGACAAAGAACCATACCATCTAAAATTACAGTTAAGGAACCTGCCCTTAGGAAAGTCAGAAAACTACAGCCCACGTCAGCAAAAGTACCAAAACAGGACTCAAAGTTTTCATCCAAATTACAAGAGTGTAATGAATACAAGAAAATATAAAGCAGTACAGGGCATTATGCATCATCCTCCTCTCTCTCTGTCACAGCTGCTTTTAAGGATACTGGGCACTTTGCGATCCTCGTGATGACAATGAGGTATGTGAAGTTCCTGGCGACGCATTGGGGAATGACCCTCTTCAGGGCCAAACCTCTTCTGTAATACACGTGGGCATTTGGGATTACTGTGGCCAGCTGCTCACAAAAACCTCACCGTCCTCTGTAAAACAGACATCAGCGTGTTGAGAGGACAGTGTTGAAAATAACAAATGAAGGACAATCCAGTACAATACATATCAGTACATTGCCCAGTAAAATTTCAATCAACACATGCTGACTGACAAAGCCACAGCATTTTATTTACTTGCTGCCATTATGCCAAGTTACAGACCTTAGACTTAATTGTTTTCTAATTCAAGAGACTCCCATATCAGGTTAAATTAGAGTGCGGCTGAAATAAAGAAGAGAGCCTAACAATCTAAGCCTTTACATTATTGCTCAAATTTAATTAACAGGCGCAAGAATGATCGCATACATGTATACATGTAATGTAAACACTAAATTTCGTGTGTACATCGTGGAGTATAATTTCACATAGTCAAAAGCAATTCCTCAAGTGCATGTTTACTGTTGGCTGACACAAAGATTACTTTGGTGAAATGATAAAAAAAAAAACAAAAAAAAAATTATACAGGCATGCAAATTGTCAAGTAGCAGCTACTCACCCCTCTGGGTCTGTCTGATGTTGTGATGAGCACTTTTGGGTTCGTGAGCCCATTGAAATAGGCAGAAAATTCATCAGTTGCCTCGTCGAATGCAACCTATAGATGACAAAAACACACAAAATTAACAGTAATTCATGACAAATATAACCTTAGAACATTTGAACAAACTCAGCCAAACCTGGGTCCATACCTCTTCATCTTCTGGGTCAACTGTTGTCTCGTCATACACCCTCTGGTTCTCTATTGTCTTTGGACCTCTTTTGGTGGTGCCTACATGATGGACAGAATTAATAAGGTAATAAACTCACCAAAATTAATGAGACTGGCTTGTTTAATAGTAAACTTCATCAATCTGGGAACCCAAGTGATAAAAATCTATTTTTGAATGACAATGGACACATTTGGTAGAAAGAGACAGAGAAAAGACTCACCTTGTCACCTAAAGCTTCCCTTTCTTTTTTTCTTCTCTCCTCAGCTGCATCTTTTTGCTGAAAAGAAAAGAAAAATTAAATTCCAGGTGAAGGCTCTAACATATTACTTGTAGTAGTGAAAGTTGATTAATGAATCAATCAATTCCTCTTTTGTCAGAAAATTATCTGGATAACCTGTGATGTAGATAGTAAAAATACCACCATTATCTGGTTACAGGTTTGCAAGTATTAGTACAGCTACTTAGTTCTACTTATATTTAAAATGAATGGTTTGGGTAATTAAGACAGCAGGTCAGACTACTTAAGCAAGTTTAAGACGGGTTATAATGTCCAGCTTGTGTTTAAAACATTTTAGCGATGTCAATTAAACTACCTATGATTTTTGTTTTTATTATTTATTAATCTTCACATAATTTTCTCAACTAATCCATGAGTTTTTTTTAATCTATAAAATGCCAAAATGTTGAGGGAAACTGCAGATCACAAGCTCCCAGAGCCAAAGATGACACCTTCAGATGTCTTCTTTTGTCCAACCATTGGTCCAAACCCTGAAGTTGGGTCAGTTTACAGTCATATACTACAGATAAAAGCAGCATATTTGCTGGAAAAATGAACGATGAATCCGATTATGACAGACCTTAGTACAAGTATGAGTAAGACAAATGATCAAATCTGTTGCCAATTATTTACTGTCTATTGATTGAGTGGTTAATAGGTGCAAAGGGAAATAATCAAGCTGCCATATAGTGAGGGGTTAACAGGGGCCAACAATAATTTTTGTCACAGGGGACCCCTGGGAGGTTAAGCCGGCCGTGGGTAAACATTAGAAACACTTAAGTGTCACACTGCAATATTCAACAGCCTCACAACGTTCAACCAGACCTGAATTTTCATAACCTTCATGAAGCTTTCGTACATGTTGTGTTAGACAACTCCCACCTAGTTTATGACTGTTTGCATAGTATAGTTACCTTTCTTTTCTCACTGCTTGAGTTTCATGAACATGAGGTGTCTTCGCTGCTTGTTCTTAATTTCGGACACACTGAAAGTGGGGGGGAAGGCAGCCGCTGCATCACTCTTCTCCATCTTTTCTCTCTTCTCCTCCGCTCCAGCGCCTTCTCATTCCCCTCCTCACGCCACATGCTCTTCTTGTTTGAATTCTTATTCTTCCTTTTCTTGCCTTTCTTGTCATCACTCACAGGGAACCTGCCGTGATATCCATTTGTT